TAGATACATTATATAGGGGTAATATCACTTCCTGTCTGTATAGATACATTATATAGGGGTAATATCACTTCCTGTCTGTATAGATACATTATATAGGGGTAATATCACTTCCTGTCTGTATAGATACATTATATAGGGGTCTGTATATTATATAGGGGTAATATCACTTCCTGTCTGTATAGATACATTATATAGGGGTAATATCACTTCCTGTCTGTATAGATACATTATATAGAATATCACTTCCTGTCTGTATAGATACATTATATAGGGTTAATATCACTTCCAGACTGTATTGATACATTATATAGGGGTAATATCACTTCCTGTCTGTATAGATACATTATATAGGGGTAATATCACTTCCTGTCTGTATAGATACATTATATAGGGGTAATATCACTTCCTGTCTGTATAGATACATTATATAGGGGTAATATCACTTCCTGTCTGTATAGATACATTATATAGGGGTAATATCACTTCCTGTCTGTATAGATACATTATATAGGGGTAATATCATTATATATAGATACATTATATAGGGGTAATATCACTTCCTGTCTATCACTTCCTGTCTGTATAGATACATTATATAGGGGTAATATCACTTCCTGTCTGTATAGATACATTATATAGGGGTAATATCACTTCCTGTCTGTATAGATACATTATATAGGGGTAATATCACTTCCTGTCTGTATAGATACATTATATAGGGGTAATATCACTTCCTGTCTGTATAGATACATTATATAGGGGTAATATCACTTCCTGTCTGTATAGATACATTATATAGGGGTAATATCACTTCCTGTCTGTATAGATACATTATATAGGGGTAATATCACTTCCTGTCTGTATAGATACATTATATAGGGGTAATATCACTTCCTGTCTGTATAGATACATTATATAGGGGTAATATCACTTCCTGTCTGTATGGATACATTATATAGGGGTAATATCACTTCCTGTCTGTATAGATACATTATATAGGGGTAATATCACTTCCTGTCTGTATTGATACATTATATAGGGGTAATATCACTTCCTGTCTGTATAGATACATTATATAGGGGTAATGTCACTTCCTGTCTGTATAGATACATTATATAGGGGTAATATCACTTCCTGTCTGTATGGATACATTATATAGGGGTAATATCACTTCCTGTCTGTATAGATACATTATATAGGGGTAATATCACTTCCTGTCTGTATAGATACATTATATAGGGGTAATATCACTTCCTGTCTGTATAGATACATTATATAGGGGTAATATCACTTCCTGTCTGTATAGATACATTATATAGGGGTAATATCACTTCCTGTCTGTATAGATACATTATATAGGGGTAATATCACTTCCTGTCTGTATAGATACATTATATAGGGGTAATATCACTTCCTGTCTGTATAGATACATTATATAGGGGTAATATCACTTCCTGTCTGTATAGATACATTATATAGGGGTAATATCACTTCCAAACTGTATAGATACATTATATAGGGGTAATATCACTTCCTGTCTGTATAGATACATTATATAGGGGTAATATCACTTCCTGTCTGTATAGATACATTATATAGGGGTAATATCACTTCCTGTCTGTATAGATACATTATATAGGGGTAATATCACTTCCTGTCTGTATAGATACATTATATAGGGGTAATATCACTTCCTGTCTGTATAGATACATTATATAGGGGTAATATCACTTCCTGTCTGTATAGATACATTATATAGTAATATCACTTCCTGTCTGTATAGATACATTATATAGGGGTAATATCACTTCCTGTCTGTATAGATACATTATATAGGGGTAATATCACTTCCTGTCTGTATAGATACATTATATAGGGATAATATCACTTCCTGTCTGTATAGATACATTATATAGGGGTAATATCACTTCCTGTCTGTATAGATACATTATATAGGGGTAATATCACTTCCTGTCTGTATAGATACATTATATAGGGGTAATATCACTTCCTGTCTGTATAGATACATTATATAGTGGTAATATCACTTCCTGTCTGTATAGATACATTATATAGGGGTAATATCACTTCCTGTCTGTATAGATACATTATATAGGGGTAATATCACTTCCTGTCTGTATAGATACATTATATAGGGGTAATATCACTTCCTGTCTGTATAGATACATTATATAGGGACTTCCTGTCTGTATAGATACATTATATAGGGGTAATATCACTTCCAAACTGTATAGATACATTATATAGGCCAACTGTATAGATACATTATATAGGGGTAATATCACTTCCTGTCTGTATGGATACATTATATAGGGGTAATATCACTTCCTGTCTGTATAGATACATTATATAGGGGTAATATCATTTCCTGTCTGTATATTATATAGGGGTAATATCACTTCCTGATATATCTAATATCACTTCCCATAGCATTATATAGGGGTAATATCATTCCTGTCTGTATGGATACATTATATAGGGGTAACTCCTCCTATAGATACATTATATAGATTGTAATATCACTTCCTGTCTGTATAGATACATTATATAGGGGTAATACTTCCTCATATAGGGGTCCACTGTCTGTATAGGATACATTATATAGGGGTAATATCACTTCCTGTCTGTATAGATACATTATATAGGGGTAATATCACTTCCTGTCTGTATAGATACATTATATAGGGGTAATATCACTTCCTGTCTGTATAGATACATTATATAGGGGTAATATCACTTCCTGTCTGTATAGATACATTATATAGGGGTAATATCACATACATTATATAGGGGTAATATCAAAACCTGTCCTGTATAGGGGTAATATCACTTCCTGTCTGTGCAACATCATATAAGGCAACACATGTCATCATTTCTATACATCTGATAATCTTCCAAAAATATCAAACACATGTCTGAATGGAGAGTGTTTACATAATCACCTACATATATAGCATTATATGTACAATTATCCTGTCTGTAAGGTAATATCAAGTCTGTAATAGTACCTTTCAATACTAATTATTATTGTATATGTACCTTTCAATACTAATTATATTTATATGCAGAAGAGTGAAAGAATGACTTTAACAGCATCATACAACTGTTTTGTCCTTATAGGGCTCCCCAGTGGTCAACAGCATCATACAACTGTTTTGTCCTTATAGGGCTCCCCAGTGGTCAAAGGGCCTTAAGTTTGAAATCAAGGAGACGACAGTGGAAAAAGCAAAAAATAACTGAAAAAAGTCATAGATACAAGTACTGTGACAGGTAAAAGATAAATAACCCCCTACAGAAGCAGATTATCAGACACAGGGAAGACACATGACCCACTACAGAAGCAGATTATCAGACACAGAGAAGACACATGACCCACTACAGAAGCAGATTATCAGACACAGAGAAGACACATGACCCACTACAGAAGCAGATTATCAGACACAGAGAAAACACATGACCCACTACAGAAGCAGGTTCTCTGACAAAAGACACGTATACTGCAGGAGGTTCACTAGATGACAGAAGACACATGACCCACTACAGGAGCAGGTTCTCTGACAAAAGACACGTATACTGCAGAAGGAGGTTCACTAGATGACAGAAGACACATGAACTGCTACAAAAACAAGTTCATGGAAGACAGAAGACACATGAACTGCTACAGGAGCAGGTTCAAGACATATTAAGCATTACTGAAGCAGGTTCTCTGTTAGGCAAGAGACACATAAACACTACAGAACTTTGTTCTCTGACAAAGGGACTACTAGCAGCAGATTATCATAGTGTTTCTTCACCACATGAAGAATGAAATTCTGAAGGTCAAGATATTAAGGGATGTCAATTTGACAGAAATAACAATTGCTTGTCTATCTGATTTGTGTGAGGATTTAAGTACTGAACCAGTTATTCAGAAGATGAAGTCACAGCTTGCTATTTTACCTGTTTTCATGCAATAAAGCAAGACAATTAAAAACAAATCTTTTTTGATATTTTATTTTATCACAGGTGGTAGACATAGAAATACTCAACAATGTGATATAAATTATAAGTAGACAACGTTTATACACCTTTCCTCACATCCTCTCTCATCAGCCTGGGGACCCCCACATATCTCTGAACCTGGGAACCCAAATTATATCTGGACGGACACAACCTTGGCATCCCCAAATATCTCTGGACGGACACAACCTTGGCATCCCCAAATATCTCTGGACGGACACAACCTTGGCATCTCCAACTATCTCTGGACAGACACAACCTGGGCATCCCCAAATATCTCTGGACGGACACAACCTGGGCATCCCCAAATATCTCTGGACGGACACAGCCTTGGCATCTCCAACTATCTCTGGACGGACACAACCTGGGCATCCCCAAATATCCCTGGACGGACACAACCTTGGCATCTCCTAATATCTCTGGACGGACACAACCTTGGCATCTCCAACTATCTCTGGACAGACACAACCTGGGCATCCCCAAATATCTCTGGACGGACACAACCTGGGCATCCCCAAATATCTCTGGACGGACACAACTTTGGCATCCCCAAATATCTCTGGAGGGACACAACCTTGGCATCCCCAACTATCTCTGGATGGACACAACCTTGGCATCCCCAACTATCTCTGGATGGACACAACCTGGCATCCCCAACTATCTCTGGACAGACACAACCTGGGCACCCCAAGCTATCTCTGGACGGACACAACCTTGGCATCCCCAACTATCTCTGGATAGACACACAACCTGGGCACCCCAAACTATCTGTGGATGCAAATATAACCTGGGTACCCTGACTATCTCTAGGTGGACACATATCCCAGACACCCCCGACTATCTGGACAGATGCATACTGTACATTTGAAACCTAGAGTTGTATTCACATCGACGTTACCAACTTTAGGTTTCCTCTTATTTTCACCCTAATTAACAAAGAGTGAGAAAGGAGAAAGTTAAGTTACAGGAAAAGTGTTCAAGTACTGAATACAGTAACCAAGGATATTGAAACAAAATTACTCCCTTTTACAATCTATATCCAAGTATCATGGCTATGATAATCCTGATTTACTGCTAAATAGCGAATCTATTTATCACAAAATCATAACTTTTATATGAGGGTGTTTACAAACAGTCTACAGAAGTCATATATATGTATTATATATGAGGATAAGAACCGTGTCCTTGTGATAACCAGGGACATTATCGTAGTTCTTATTCACTTCTTTTTATAAATATTACAATATCACAGCCTTGTAAAGTTTGTAAAATAACAAACAATGGTATTTAAATTTAAATCTTTTTCATTTCATATCTCTCTCATACAATTCAATTTCTTCTTAAAAAACAATTTTCTGTTGTAATGATGCAATTGACTTTTCAGCCCTCCATAAATGTTTCAAAGAAGCCTCAGTCCTCTTCATCAACAAACGCAGCATCTGTGGTGCCTGTAGATATGGCTGTCTGTTGTCGGCTTAACCTTTGTTCTATAATGATAACACATAAAATTACCTTACTAGATCCCAGTGTATTCTACAATGTATACAGTCAGATATATACTGTCTGTACCATTACATCATTTAATGTCAAAAAATTCAGAGACATCAGAAAAACCCTGTTATGTTTGCAAGTGCCCCTAGTATTCCTGGTAAGTAGAGAAATGCACTTTGAAATGGTAGAATTTATGACATATGTTAAGTATGTCTTTAGGTATAGGATAGTCGCTGTAAATACTGAGATGTATTAAACAGGCCTAGTTGATAGGGACATACATATAAAGTCACAACAATAAAGAGCTTCTATACTTCAATAACACAACATTTTCTTTATAGTAAATATAAATTTCAAAAAACCCTGTTGTGAATGTACTTATTAGCTTGTAACTATAGAAAAGTGGATCAGAAGTACATCAGGTTGTGTAGGATAGCAGGTGATGCAACCCTGAAGCCAGTGATTCTAAAATAGTACTATTCTGGTGTCTTAGATATGTGTACAAGCTTAAATATACTGTCTTAGACAATTCTGAATACCTTTTGAACTCATAAGGTATCAAAATAATAAACAACATCACAGGTACACTGACTCGGTTCAGTTGTTATTGATCAACAAAATCAATATTAGGATTAAGAGCTTGTTCATTCCAAACACAAACATCCAAAAGTCTATACATGCTTATTATCAATCTTTCCTATTTTATCAGGATTAATATCAAACATACATAGAAGTGCATTTTCTCAAACAAGATGCTATAATTTGTCAATACAAGCAAAACGATGTATTTCAGTTCAATGTAATGCATCACTGAGTGAAAGCTGAAAATCATTCAATTAGACAGCATGCTATCTCTGTAAAGGTCTGTCATATCAGATGTGACTAGAACAGAAATCTTGTCACTGTCAGTAAATAAGCCAGTCACACCATTGTTTCTAGTCCTTAACTAGAGCTGACTAGAACAGAAATCTTGTCACTACTGTCAGTAAATAAGCCAGTCACACCATTGTTTCTAGTCCTTAACTAGAGCTGACTAGAACAGAAATCTTGTCACTACTGTCAGTAAATAAGCCAGTCACACCATTGTTTCTAGTCCTTAACTAGAGCTGACTAGAACAGAAATCTTGTCACTACTGTCAGTAAATAAGCCAGTCACACATTGTTGTTTCTAGTCCATAACTAGAGCTGACTAGAACAGAAATCTTGTCACTACTGTCAGTAAATAAGCCAGTCACACCATTGTTTCTAGTCCTTAACTAGAGCTGACTAGAACAGAAATCTTGTCACTACTGTCAGTAAATAAGCAGTAAATTGTTTCTAAGCCAGTCACACCAGTTGTTTCTAGTCCTTAACTAGAGCTGACTAGAACAGAAATCTTGTCACTACTGTCAGTAAATAAGCCAGTCACACCATTGTTTCTAAACTAGTAAATAAGCCCATAGTCACTTGTCACTATTGTTGTCACACCATTGTTCACACCATCTAGTCCTTAACTAGAGCTGACTAGAACAGAAATCTTGTCACTATTGTCAGTAAATAAGCCAGTCACACCATTGTTTCTAGTCCTTAACTAGAGCTGACTAGAACAGAAATCTTGTCACTACTGTCAGCAAATAAGCCAGTCACATTGTTGTTTCTAGTCCTTAACTAGAGCTGACTAGAACAGAAATCTTGTCACTATTTTCAGTAAAAAAGCCAGTCACACCATTGTTTCTAGTCCTTAACTAGAGCTGACTAGTACAGAAATCTTTGAAAGCGTGTAAGATTTTGATGTCCCAAATATGGAAGGGTCTTCTTAATGGTTTACATTTTATTCTTACGTCATTTACTTTATGATATATACATAAAAAAAACCTTTAAGAAACCTTCCGATATGACACCAACATAGAATAAGCTGATACAACAGACATAACATGAATTCATACCACCACACAATACTCATTATAAGTTAGGTGAATAAATGTTTTCAGATGAACTTCTTATCCTTATCATAAACCTCGGACTGATAATGACCAAACACACTTTCAAGATAACTGTTAGCTAAGTGTTACACACAGTAAAAGTACTGCTACTTACTATTTTTCTGTAACATATACACAAATTATATTAATCAGTGATAACAACTGAAAAATCTCCAGTTTAATGTGAGTAAACAAAAGGCCCAATGGAGCTGTATCATTCATCTTCTCTGTAGCTCATGAAAAGCAGAATTTGTTGAAAGAACACATTCAAGAAGCTTTCATGTTTACTTCATAATTAATACTCTAGTTTCCAGTAGGTTCAAAGTGAAATATTCAAAAATTATTTGAAATTTTAATCGTTTGACCTTTTTGAAATAAAAACTGTCCAAGTAATTTATTTGTAGAAACTTTAAAGCCTTTCATCATACGTGTTACTGAATGTAGACTTATTGAGGAAGTCTTTTAAAGGCAAAAGTTGATGCTGGATAGACAAAAGATGGGCAATGGACAGACAAAAGATGCTGAGCCAAGGCACAACATCACTTGCCTTTGAGCAAATGAGCTTAAAATGGAAAGCAATCACTGGTATACCACGACAATAGATATGGCTGCCTGTATTACATCATATCTATTTTTAGAAAAGAATGGTATTGTGTTTGTCTTGCTTACACAATCTGACTAAATAGATCTGAACTGGAATATCTGTAAGAGGAAGCTTATGGCGCACTAAATGATCTTACCTGGAGAAGGTGTTTTGTCCTGTGACACTTCCTCTGGGGCAGTCCTACAGTGGAGAACACAGTCAGTTACACTGACATGAAAAATCAGGTTGATATCATCACTATTCAATTGAAAATCACACTTCAATTACAGTGAAATATATTCTAGAAATAAAACCTACTGTTTCTTTCCTTCCTCCCCTTCTTCACCTTCTTCTTCCTCATTAGCTCCTAAAGGAGTCAATGTCTTCTCGTTGAACAGGTTCAACGGTTCACCAATGATTCCAATTCTATAATGGATACCTTACAATTTTAGTATGTGTTCAGTAGTTTATATCCTGATGTTTGGATCACTATCATACTTCTATGGAGATACTTTATACTAATAATATCACATGTTTTTACTATCATGATTGTATATCTTACAGTTGGACAAAAACATTAAAATCACTTGGAACCCCAGAGAAATTTTGAGACCATCTTTCCTTAAATTATCACCCTGTAAACAGCCTCAGTACATTATCATCGTGATGTTTAATGGCTAACAAATATTTCACCAAGACACCATGACACAAGGACAACATATCTGATTTCTTACTTAAATGTTTTCTTGTCTATAAAAAAATCATCACCAAACATGTCCCCATCATCAGCTTCCTCTGTCTCTGGCTCTCGTCCCATTTTAGAGAGTGAACTGTCAAATGACAAAAAGGAAAGTTACAATTAATGAGTGTAAATACAAACAACATGTTTTCTAGGGTGTGACTGTAAACAACATGTTTTCTAGGGTGTGACTGTAAACAACATGTTTTCTAGGGTTTGACTGTAAACAACATGTTTTCTGGAGTGTGACTGTAAACAACATGTTTACTAGGGTGTGACTGTTAACAACATGTTTTCTAGAGTGTGACTGTAAACACCATGTTTTCTAGGGTGTGACTGAAAACAACATGTTTTCTAGGGTGTGACTGTAAACAACATGTTTTCTAGAGTGTGACTGTAAATAACATTTTCACTTGGTAAAACTGAGTTAGATGAGTGAGTACCAATAGAAAGCTGAGTGAGTACCTATGGAGAGCTGAGTAAACATGGTGAGCTAAGTTAGCACCTATGGAGAGCTGAGTGAGTACCTATGGAGAGCTGAGTGAGACCTATGGAGAGCTAAATGAGTACCTATGGTGAGCTGAATGAGTACCTATGGAGAGCTGAGTGAGTACCTATGGAGAGCTGAGTGAGTACCTATGGTGAGCTGAGTTAATACCTATGGTGAGCTGAGTGAGTACCTATGGAGAGCTGAGTTAATACCTATGGAGAGCTGAGTGAGACCTATGGTGAGCTGAGTTAGTACCTATGGAGAGCTGAGTGAGACCTATGGTGAGCTGAGTGAGTACCTATGGAGAGCTGAGTGAGTACCTATGGAGAGCTGAGTGAGTACCTATGGAGAGCTGAGTTAGTACCTATGGAGAGCTGAGTGAGTACCAAAGGAAAGCTGAGTTAGCACCTATGGTGAGCTAAATGAGTACCTATGGTGAGCTGAGTTAGTACCTTTGAAAAGCTCAGTTAGTATCTGTGGTGAGCTGAGTGAGTACCTATGGAGCTGAATGAGTACTTATGGAGAGCTTAGTTAGTACCTTTGAAAAGCTCAATTAGTACCTATGGTGAGCTGAGTGAGTACCTATGGAAAGCTGAGTGAGTACCTATGGAGAACAATTCAGAACATGGTGACTTCACTACTTACTTTGGTGACAATGCTCCCCTCCGTCTGAACAACCAGTTAGCTTCCTCTTTAGGGGACGGTAAAATGGCAACAATAGCTGGAGATCTCTGACTGTTAAAAAAAGTATATTTATATAAGGCTCATTTCAAACATATATTTCAGATTGCTTCTAGTTTCATGTATTTAGTAAAAAAAGAAGACCCTTTAATTATTGTACCATGTTCTCTGTACACTTTCTATTACTGTATAAAATATAGATAGTGAGTTACTTAAATTATTAGATAAGAGAAGTTATACTACTTACTTGATGATAGCTTTAATGGCAGGTCTTTTCCTGTAAAACAGAAATCACATGATGTTACAACCACAAAACACAATAACATGTGTTATAACTAGAAAACATGTGTTATCACCACAAACACAATAACATGTGTTATAACTAGAAAACAAAATAACATGTGTTATAACTACAAAACACAACATGTTATAACTACAAAACACAATAACATGTGTTACAACCACAAAACACAATAACCACAAAACACAATAACGTGTTATAACCACAAACACAATAACATGTGTTATAACTAAAAAACACAATAACATGTGTTATAACCACAAAACACAGTAACATGTGTTATAACCACAAAACACAATAACGTGTCAATGAACTGATGAACTGTGATGCAGTAATGCAATCACGCAAATGTTGAGATGAATGTGAAAAGGAAAATCAATATTGGTCTACACAGAGGTGAGAATTGCACCACATCAATTGTCACATGGACATCTTTGTTTAAGTGTATTGAAATGTTGAAATAATTAACTGCACACACAGTGGACATATGATGACTAAAGCCTTGAGACAGACTGTACTTACGGCTGTAGTCTGTGGTATTCAGCTGTCTACATAGTGGACATATGATGACTAAAGCCTGGAGACGGTACTTACGGCTGTAGTCTGTGGTATTCAGCTGTCTACATAGTGGACATATGATGGCTAAAGCCTGGAGACAGACTGTACTTACGGCTGTAGTCTGTGGTATTCAGCTGTCTACATAGTGGACATATGATGGCTAAAGCCTGGAGACAGACTGTACTTACGGCTGTAGTCTGTGGTATTCAGCTGTCTACACAGTGGACATATGATGGCTAAAGCCTGGAGACAGACTGTACTTACGGCTGTAGTCTGCGGTATTCAGCTGTCTACACAGTGGACATATGATGACTAAAGCCTGGAGACTGTACTTACGGCTGTAGTCTGCGGTATTCAGCTGTCTACATAGTGGACATATAATGGCTAAAGCCTGGAGACAGACTGTACTTACGGCTGTAGTCTGTGGTATTCAGCTGTCTACATAGTGGACATATAATGACTAAAGCCTGGAGACAGACTGTACTTACGGCTGTAGTCTGCGGTATTCAGCTGGTGTCATTTTACTAATGGCACCTGTTGGCTGCTCTTCTTTTGTTTCGCTGTTGTCATCTTTCTCATCTCTATTGATGAATTGCTTTCTGAACCTTCGGAACTTTTTATTCTTGGCATCTCTCAACGCTTCAGAATAAAAAGGTTTATAGTGTACATACCTTGATTACAGGTAAAAAGCTAGAAAGATTGATGGAAGATACAGTGTACATACCTTGATTACAGTTACAGATAAATAAAGATTTACAGTAGATACAGATTACATACCTTTATAGTAAATTTACCTCATATATTTTTTGATCACTCTTGATGACAGTTGGAAATTTATGAAAAATTATAAAAGATGTCTTGAAGATAGGTAAAATGTTATCCGTATATCATTTTTCAGTTTTTCTGTACTCACTTAATCATCACACAAAGAAAGGCAAAACTGACACAATGGTTCACTTTTATAAGCCAGAAAAACAAACTCACCAGCGGCAATTTTATGGTAACTCACAGCTGAAACAGGCAGATAATTAAATGAAGGTGAAGCTGTCAGTGTTATCATCAATATATAAAGATCACTTCTTTTATGTCACTATTTATCTACATTTTTTTAGAACAAATATAAATGGCTTCCACAGATCTGCTAGAGTAAAGATGGCAATGTGAGAAAGATGCTCAAACCCCAGTAACAACTTCCTACACAATATCTGACACCTTCTGACATTTATTGTACTATAACAGCCAGGTGCTGGTTTTATTATGGAGGACAGGAGACTTGTGGTCTAATCTTTCTCTGTCAGTCAGGTTTTGGTTTGTTATGTAGGACAAGACACTTAACACCTATCCTTAGACTGGCTAGACACCTACCTTGTCGTCCCTCTGGTAACTTCTTAACTTGCTTGGCGGGGTTGAATGTGTCTGACCTTAAAATTCTGTAGTGAAGATTGAAAAAACTCAACAAATCAATATATAAAAACTAAATTGTGTCTTGGCAAAATTTCCAAATGAATAATAGATTTTGTTGTTGTCTGGACCTATTCTTTTTTTAAGTGGAAATATTACATTGAAAAGTACTCCCATTCTCAAAAAGTAATTAAAAGTACAAACATTATTGGATTGTGAGTTTTCTGGAGTATCAGCGATTGGATTAATGTGGAGTCCTAGTGCAGCATTAATTACACATCTATACACGCCTGGTTAAGATGATTACCTGCCAATTTCTTTTTTGATGACTGTAAAATCCTTTCTACGGAAGGATATGTGGACAGCATAGGCACAGAAAGAGTAGAGTGTCTACAATATAACAACCAATAGTATATAGTGTCTACAATATAATAACCAATAGTATATAGTGTCTACAATAACCAATAGTATATAGTGTCTACATTATAATAACCAATAGTATATAGTGTCTACAATATAATAACCAATAGTATATAGTGTCTACAATATAATGACCAATAGTATACAGTGTCTACAATATAATAACCAATAGTATATAGTGTCTACATTATACCAGTAACCATATAGTATATAGTCTACAATATAATAACCAATAGTATATAGTGTCTACAATATATTAACCAATAGTATATAGTGTCTACAATATAATAACCAAAAGTATATAGTATATAGTCTACAATATAATAACCAAAAGTATATAGTGTCTACAATATAATAACCAATATAATGACCAATAGTATATAGTGTCTACAATATAATAACCAATAGTATATAGTGTCTACAATATAATAACCAAAAGTATGTAGTGTCTACAATATAATAACCAATAGTATACAGTGTCTACAATATAATAACCAATAGTATATAGTGTCTACAATATATTAACCAATAGTATATAGTGTCTACAATATAATAACCAATAGTATGTAGTGTATATAGTGTCTACAATATAATAACCAAAAGTATGTATATAGTGTCTACAATATAATAACCAATAGTATATAGTGTCTACAATATAATAACCAATAGTATATAGTGTCTACAATATATTAACCAATAGTATATAGTGTCTACAATATATTAACCAATAGTATATAGTGTCTACAATATAATAACCAATAGTATATAGTGTCTACAATATAATAACCAATAGTATATAGTGTCTATAATAACCAGTAGTATATAGTGTCTACAATATAATAACCAATAGTATATAGTGTCTACAATAACCAATAGTATATAGTGTCTACAATAACCAATAGTATATAGTGTCTACAATAACCAATAGTATATAGTGTCTACAATATATTAACCAATAGTATATAGTGTCTACAATATAACAACCAATAGTATATAGTGTCTACAATATAATAACCAATAGTATATAGTGTCTACAATATAATGACCAATAGTATATAGTGTCTACAATATAACAACCAATAGTATATAGTGTCTACAATATAATGACCAATAGTATACAGTGTCTACAATATAATAACCAATAGTATATAGTGTCTACAATATAATAACCAATAGTATATAGTGTATACAATATAATAACCAATAGTATATAGTGTCTACAATATAATGACCAATAGTATATAGTGTCTACAATATAACAACCAATAGTATATAGTGTCTACAATATAATGACCAATAGTATATAGTGTCTACAATATAATAACCAATAGTATACAGTGTCTACAATATAATAACCAATAGTATATAGTGTCTACAATATAATAACCAATAGTATATAGTGTCTACAATATAATAACCAATAGTATATAGTGTCTACATTATAATAACCAATAGTATATAGTGTCTACAATATAATAACCAATAGTATATAGTGTCTACAATATAATAACCAATAGTATATAGTGTCTACAATATAATAACCAATAGTATATAGTGTCTACAATATAATAACCAATAGTATATAGTGTCTACAATATAATAACCAATAGTATATAGTGTCTACAATATAATAACCAATAGTATATAGTGTCTACAATATAATAACCAATAGTATATAGTGTCTACAATATAATAACCAATAGTATATAGTGTCTACAATATAAAGACCAATAGTATATAGTGTCTACATTATAATAACCAATAGTATATATTTATTACCATGTCAACCTTTGTCTTAATGAAATTGTTTTGAAACATAAATTCACAGTTAGTGATGTAATGTTTATAATGTTTTAATAGAAGACATTATCCTGTCTCTGAGGGTATCACTATCATTGTGCTACAGCTTTGTATGAGTGAATCATCTAAATCAGTACCCTGTCTCTGAGGGCAACACTGAGCTTCACCTTTGTGTGTGTGACTCACCTCAAACATTCCTCTGTCTTTGAGTGTTGAAGATACCCTTGATCTGTAAGAGAACAAAAAGATATCTTTATGATTATTTTCCACCGACATATTTTCCTCATTAAAATGAAGCATAAGTAACTCAAATAAAACAATATTTAGAATGAATTAATAATATCAACCTCAGGCTTACCCTTCACAGATCGCATGGTGCTGATCCACTACACTACAGCAGTGGATAGACTTACCCTTCACAGATCGCATGGTGCTGATCCACTCCACTACAGCAGTGGATAGACTTACCCTTCACAGATCGCATGGTGCTGATCCACTCCACTACAGCAGTGGATAGACTTACCCTTCACAGATCGCATGGTGCTGATCCACTCCACTACAGCAGTGGATAGACTTACCCTTCACAGATCGCATGGTGCTGATCCACTCCACTACAGCAGTGGATAGACTTACCCTTCACAGATCGCATGGTGCTGATCCACTCCACTACAGCAGTGGATAGACTTACCCTTCACAGATCGCATGGTGCTGATCCACTCCACTACAGCAGTGGATAGACTTACCCTTCACAGATCGCATGGTGCTGATCCACTCCACTACAGCAGTGGATAGACTTACCCTTCACAGATCGCATGGTGCTGATCCACTCCACTACAGCAGTGGATAGACTTACCCTTCACAGATCGCATGGTGCTGATCCACTCCACTACAGCAGTGGATAGACTTACCCTTCACAGATCGCATGGTGCTGATCCACTCCACTAAAGCAGTGGATAGACTTACCCTTCACAGATCGCATGGTGCTGATCCACTCCACTACAGCAGTGGATAGACTTACCCTTCACAGATCACATGGTGCTGATCCACTCCACTACAGCAGTGGTTAGACTTACTCTCCAGACCACATGGTGCTGATCCACTCCACTACAGCAGTGGATAGACTTACTCTCCACAGGTGGCATGGTGCTGATCCACTCCACTACAGCAGTGGTTAGACTTACTCTCCAGACCACATGGTGCTGATCCACTACACTACAGCAGTGGATAGACTTACTCTCCACAGGTGGCACGGTGCTGATCCACTACACTACAGCAGTGGATAGACTTACTCTCCAGACCACATGGTGCTGATCCACTCCACTACAGCAGTGGATAGACTTACTCTCCAGACCACATGGTGCTGATCCACTCCACTACAACAGTGGATAGACTTACTCTCCAGACCACATGGTGCTGATCCACTACACTACAGCAGTGGATAGACTTACTCTCCACAGGTGGCATGGTGCTGATCCACTCCACTACAGCAGTGGATAGACTTAATCTCCACAGGTGGCATGGTGCTGATCCACTACATTACAGCAGTGGATAGACTTAATCTCCACAGACCACATAGTGCTGATCCACTACACTACAGCAGTGGTTAGATTTATTTGCCACAGGCCATGTGGTGGTGAGACTTACTTTCCACAAGCCATGTGGTGGTGAGACTTACTTGCCACAAGCCATGTGGTGGTGATCCTCTAGTCCTAATCCAAGCTCCAACACACAATAAGCCTGGCCTAGTAATTTCTCTGTCTGTCCAATCTTTACCAGAGATTCCTCAAATGCTTTCTTCTCAGACAGGCTTGGTTCACTGAAGTACAAAGTAAGTGTTTTTTTATGATTCACTGACTTACACACTAAAAGATAAATGGTACTGTACCGGTTGCAGTCACTATGGTTGTGCCTCAATTTTATCTACATCGTTAGTATTATATTTGTTAGACTGAAGCCAATATAATATCAGTTATATACTTGTTCAGAATGTTCGATAGTTAATGGCTTACTATGACCTAAATTCACTTAAATTCACAGATATCCGCCTCACTGTTTGCTGAATCTTACATGTAGGTAGTAGTGTTGATTTTATGTTCCTGAAGCAACTTGTCAAAAAAGCAATGGAAGTAGTTGAAGAGATGCATCAGAAACAGGTCAAATTCATCAGTACTGAAAAACACAGAAACAGGTCAAATTCATCAGTACTGAAAAACACAGAAACAGGTCAAATTCATCAGTACTGAAAAACACAAAAACAGGTCAAATTCATCAGTACTGAAAAACACAGAAACAGGTCAAATTCATCAGTACTGAAAAACACAGAAACAGGTCAAATTCATCAGTACTGAAAAACACAGAAACAGGTCAAATTCATCAGTACTGAAAAAAACACAGAAACAGGTCAAATTCATCAGTACTGAAAAACACAGAAACAGGTCAAATTCATCAGTACTGAAAAACACAGAAACAGGTCAAATTCATCAGTACTGAAAAACACAGAAACAGGTCAAATTCATCAGTACTGAAAAACACAGAAACAGGTCAAATTCATCAGTACTGAAAAACACAGAAACAGGTCAAATTCATCAGTACTGAAAAACACAGAAACAGGTCAAATTCATCAGTACTGAAAAACACAGAAACAGGTCAAATTCATCAGTACTGAAAAACACAGAAACAGGTCAAATTCATCAGTACTGAAAAACACAGAAACAGGTCAAATTCATCAGTACTGAAAAACACAGAAACAGGTCAAATTCATCAGTACTGAAAAACACAGAAACAGGTCAAATTCATCAGTACTGAAAAACACAGAAACAGGAAACAGGTCAAATTCATCAGTACTGAAAAACACAGAAACAGGTCAAATTCATCAGTACTGAAAAACACAGAAACAGGTCAAATTCATCAGTACTGAAAAACACAGAAACAGGTCAAATTCATCAGTACTGAAAAACATAGAAACAGGTCAAATTCATCACTACTGAAAAACATAGTAACAGGTCAAATACATCTGTACTGAAAAACATAGTAACAGGTCAAATACATCTGTACTGAAAAACACAGAAACAGGTCAAAGTCATCAGTACTGAAAAACATAGAAACAGGTCAAATACATCTGTACTGAAAAACACAGAAACAGGTCAAATTCATCACTACTGAAAAACATAGAAACAGGTCAAATTCATCAGTACTGAAAAACACAGAAACAGGTCAAATTCATCAGTACTGAAAAACACAGAAACAGAAACAGGTCAAATTCATCAGTACTGAAAAACATAAAAAAAAAGGTGTTCAAACAGGTCCAATTCATCAGTACTGAAAAACATAGAAACAGGTCAAATTCATCAGTACTGAAAAACATAGAAACAGGTCAAATTCATCACTACTGAAAAACATAGAAACAGGTCAAATTCATCAGTACTGAAAAACACAGAAACAGGTCAAATTCATCAGTACTGAAAAACACAGAAACAGGTCAAATTCATCAGTACTGAAAAACACAGAAACAGGTCAAATTCATCAGTACTGAAAAGCATAAAAAAAAGGTTGTTCAGACACAGGTCAAATTCATCAGTACTGAAAAACATAGAAATAGGTCAAATACATTTGTACTGAAAAACACAGAAACAGGTCAAATTCATCAGTACTGAAAAACATAGAAACAGGTCAAATTCATCACTACTGAAAAACATAGAAACAGGTCAAATTCATCACTACTGAAAAACATAGAAACAGGTCAAATTCATCAGTACTGAAAAACATAGAAACAGGTCAAATTCATCAGTACTGAAAAACATAGAAACAGGTCAAATTCATCACTACTGAAAAACATAGAAATAGGTCAAATACATCAGTACTGAAAAACATAGAAACAGGTCAAATTCATCAGTACTGAAAAACATAGAAACAGGTCAAATTCATCACTACTGAAAAACATAGAAACAGGTCAAATTCATCAGTACTGAAAAACATAGAAAAAGAATGTTCAGAAACGGGTCAAATTCATCAGTACTGAAAAACAGAAAAAAAAAGAATGTTCAGACACAAGTCAAATTCATCAGTACTGAAAAAGATAGGGAAAAAAAAGAATGTTCATCGGAACTTTACTTGCCCTGGCCCAATTCTGATTGAAAAATGGTGGAAAACTTGGCTTTCAATGAATTCTCAATACAACCCTAATATTTCATGAACATATACAAATACTTACTTAAGGATGCCTTCAAAAGTTTCAGGAATCCCTTCATTTGATTGTACAGATAACATGCTGAGCGCCACATCTACAACAAACACAATATAATCATACATGGGATGTGACTACAAAACTACTCGATATAAAAAGCCATGAGCAAAGTTTAGAGATTTCATCTGTTGAAATTTGTATGTCTCTGTTAAGTACCACTTATTTTGTGATAGAATTAACTTGTATTAGTGCACTCTTATTCAGGTGGTCTAGTTTAGTAGTATTTCTATACTCCTATTGGTGGCATAATTTAGTTGTATTTGTACATTCTTGTTTAGTAGGTATAATTTCAAAGTTTTGTATGCCCTTGCTTGGGGGGAAATTCAGTAGTACACTGCAGTTGTACACCATTGTTTGGGGGGGGGGATTTAGTAGTACACTGCAGTTGTACACCATTGTTGGGGGGGGGGGGGGAATTTAGTAGTACACTGCAGTTGTACACCCTTGTTTGGGGGGAAATTTAGTAGTACACTGCAGTTGTACACCCTTGTTTGGGGGGGGGGGAATTTAGTAGTACACTGCAGTTGTACACCCTTGTTTGGGGGGAAAATTAGTAGTACACTGCAGTTGTACACCATTGTTTGGGGGTGGAAATTTGGTAGTACACTGCAGTTGTACACCCTTGTTTGGGAGCATAATTTAGTAGTATTTGTACACCCTTGTTTTGAGTCATATAGTAGCATATGTTTACTTTTGACATAGTCAAGTGTCACTGTTGTTTGACTGGTTTTCTGCTTTAAAGCTGGATGTGGAGACTTGGCCTGGTTCCCTTTTTGACTGCGACCCCTCATTCCTGGCTTACCAACACTAGACGCCACTCTGAAGCAAATACAAATGAACACTGAATCATTGTCTTTATGCAAGTATCATCACCGAGTTATTGTTAAAATCCCTATAATTTGTTTGGAATTTTTTTTATTGAAATTATGTATTGATAATGATCACTAGGCTATATAATATCTCACTGGCCATTATCAGATTTCTAAGTGTTTAAGTGGAGTATATCACAATTTATTTATTTCCAAAGAAGTACACCATTCTATGTTTATGTGTTTTATTTATTGTACAACTATTCACCTGTCCATTTTTTTGTTTCCCTCTTTCGCTCTTCGCCGCTTGTCTTGTCTGTCAGCATTAGGATTATTACTGCAATATAAGTAAAATGCTTGCTGCATTTAAGTAATTAGAAATTTCACCCTTTTCTTTTTTTTTTAATATAACAGATAAGGTAACAAAATATGTGCTCTCTTCTTTACTAATATGTCATTCACTTATTCGTGTATATTATTTACTGAACAAAAAAAAAGTGAAAAAAAATTACCAAGGTTCTGGCGAGGTTCGAACTCGCGACCTTCTGCGTGTAAAGCAGACGTGATAACCACTACACCACAGAACCTTAGATGCTATGCATACGCTTCTATTTTCAGCATATCAAGTTTATGCATTACCTCATGAATTCAAGAGAATTCGTTTCATCTTTCCATGTCCATGTCCCTGTTGATGGAACACTTTTCATCTACAAAATACAATAAAAGAGATGTATTCAACTGAAAGTGCACACGTAAACAAAATGCTTCAAAGTGTGAAATAAACAACGACATGACTGATCTGGCGGGTATGAAATCCAGATCAGGATATGAATTTACCACATTAATGAACCACATATATAAACTAAGTATGTCTACTTACGGAATCCATTGCCATTGTTACTTTCGCCATTATTGAGTGATCGAGGTAAACAACAAGATGGTCCTAAAGAAAATATTTCCACTTCCGGTTGAATCGTACGAATACAGAAAAGAAGTTAACTTCTTGTACCGATCACTTGTCCAAAATATCAATAATGAAATGATAACGTGTTTGCCAGACGAAATCTACTATAATCTAAACCTATTATGATATCCAGCAACATACTAGCAGTGATGCAGCGAACGAAGGCAACGACGCCATTTCTACTAAATTTCATGCCATAGCAACATCAAGCAAAGGGGAGGTAACTTCCCACTCTACCCATACCCGAATCACACTTAGGGGTTCGGAACCCCGCGGAAACAAATATTTTTTTGTTTGATTTATTTTTAACTAAAAATGCAATACCAATTGATTCATAAACAACATATGAATTAGTTTATGTGAAAAATAAGGAAAACAGACAATGTGCAATAAGAATTTTAAATAATTTTGTAAAATTTATAGCAGGAAAAAGTACAGCTGTAACATAAAAAAATAACAGAAGAAAGAAAAAAAAATTCTGTCCATGCAAAACATTACAATATTATTTTTTATTTACAAGACATATAAATAAGTCTATATGAAAAATCTTTTCATCATTATTATTTTCCAAATCAGTTGTGTACATTGCTTTGCATCAGTAATTTCCCAAAATAAAGATTGATGTTACTTAGACAGAGGAGTACCTGAAAATTCTCCTTGAAAGCCATAGGATTTAACTTAAATTTTGATAAATTTTTTTTTGCATGAACCATTATTAGAAAAGATTATTTGAATGTCCTATATGAACTAGAAGTTTGTGTGCATCCCGACATTATATTCTAAAAACAGTAGAATTTATATCAGGAGCTCTATCCAGAGGGATCCAATCCCCTTCCTTGGAAACCATCTTGAAGTAATGTGTACAGAGCTTACCCTAAAATTACAAACATCATATCAGTGCTAGAAAATCTCACACTATCATTGCCATGGTCTATTGCCATTCAAGTTTTGTTGGGTTCCAATCTGTCCTCCACACTATATGTTTACCTTATCACAACATAATTCACTTCACCAGATACTTGATTTTGAAAATGAGTCAAAGTTATTTTATCAGATACCTGTGGTGTTGTAAATGAGTCAATCATACACCTGCCATGTTGAAATTGAGTCAATATATATTTGTGATTCACTTTATCAAATATCTGTGATGTTGAAAGTGAGTCAAGTTAATTCACTTTATCAGATATCTGTGATGTTGAAAAAGTGTCAAGTTAATTAACTTTATCAGATAACTGTGGTGTTAAGAGTGAATCAGCTTAATTCACTTTATCAGATAAATGTGGTGTTAAGAGTGAGTCAAGTTAATTCACTTTATCAGATAACTGGTGTTAAGAGTGAGTCAAGTTAATTCACTTGATCAGATAACTGTGGTGTAAAGAGTGAGTCAGCCTAATTCACTTTATCAGATAACTGTGGTGTTAAGAGTGAATCAGCTTAATTCACTTTATCAGATAAATGTGGTGTTAAGAGTGAGTCAAGTTAATTCACTTTATCAGATAACTGTGGTGTTAAGAGTGAGTCAAATTAATTCACTTTATCAGATAACTGTGGTGTTAAGAGTGAATCAGCTTAATTCACTTTATCAGATAAATGTGGTGTTAAGAGTGAGTCAGCTTAATTCACTTTATCAGATAAATGTGGTGTTAAGAGTGAGTCAGCTTAATTCACTTTATCAGATAACTGTGGTGTTAAGAGTGAGTCAAGTTAATTCACTTTATCAGATAACTGTGGTGTTAAGAGTGAGTCAGCTTAATTCACTTTATCAGATAAATGTTGTGTTAAGAGTGAGTTAAGTTAATTCACTTTATCAGATAACTGGTGTTAAGAGTGAGTCAAGTTAATTAACTTTATCAGATAACTGTGGTTTTAAGAGTGAGTCAAGTTAATTCACTTTATCAGATTACTGGTGTTAAGAGTGAGTCAAGTTAATTCACTTGATCAGATAACTGTGGTGTTAAGAGTGAGTCAAATTAATTCACTTTATCAGATAACTGTGGTGTTAAGAGTGAGTCAAGTTAATTCACTTTATCAGATAACTGTGGTGTTAAGAGTGAGTCAAGTTAATTCACTTTATCAGATAACTGGTGTTAAGAGTGAGTCAAGTTAATTCACTTGATCAGATAAATGTGGTGTTAAGAGTGAGTCAAGTTAATTCACTTTATCAGATAACTGTGGTGTTAAGAGTGAGTCAAGTTAACTCACTTTATCAGATACCTGTGGTGTTAAGAGTGAGTCAAGTTAATTCACTTTATCAGATAACTGGTGTTAAGAGTGAGTCAAGTTAATTCACTTGATCAGATAACTGTGGTGTTAAGAGTGAGTCAGCCTAATTCACTTTATCAGATAACTGTGGTGTTAAGAGTGAGTCAGCTTAATTCACTTTATCAGATAAATGTGGTGTTAAGAGTGAGTCAGCTTAATTCACTTTATCAGATAAATGTGGTGTTAAGAGTGAGTCAAGTTAATTCACTTTATCAGATATCTGTGGTGTTAAGAGTGAGTCAAGTTAATTCACTTTATCAGATTACTGGTGTTAAGAGTGAGTCAAGTTAATTCACTTGATCAGATAACTGTGGTGTTAAGAGTGAGTCAGCTTAATTCACTTTATCAGATAACTGTGGTGTTAAGAGTGAGTCAGCTTAATTCACTTTATCAGATAAATGTTGTGTTAAGAGTGAGTTAAGTTAATTCACTTTATCAGATATCTGTGATGTTAAGAGTGAGTCAGTTTAATTCACTTTATCAGATAACTGGTGTTAAGAGTGAGTCAAGTTAATTCACTTTATCAGTTAACTGTGGCGTTAAGAGGGAGTCAAGTTAATTCACGTCATCAGATATCTGTGATGTTGAAAGTAAGTAGAGATCATTCTCTTCATCATACCCATTTGAATTTCGGGTTGAGTCAAGTTTACAATCCTCCACTTTCTCTATCTCCTTACTCTTGACAATTTATTACCAAAGATGATAGACATCCCAAAGATTTCTGGTGTCAATCATAGTAAGCTCAGGGAATGTCCATGTAGAACATTTTTTTTTTATTGCAAAACAAGCACAACATATACATTGTACAGGTAAATGAAGACCATAAATCTGAGATGGACATGTTCTTGACAAGTAATATCCATTTTCTTCTCTATTCTTTCTTCTATTCTAGCTTTTCATTTGATCAAATTTGAAAATGCCTTCTAAGAAATAATGATTGTATTCTTTGCTGACTAAATCCAATATGGTCGCCTTTCCACCATTTTCGGTAAGCAGGACCAGACAACGCCAATGAAGATCTTCTGTAACTTTATTAGTTGACTAGTTTCGGCACACTAGGTATGTCGTCCTCAGAACAGTGCAAATTCAAAAAGTAGGACTTTATATACTCCTGTGCCTAGCAACTACACGTTATTTCCACCGATGTCAAAGAGAGTACACTAGTTACAATGACGTAATTAATTGGTGACGTCATAATGCAAGTAAACAGATAGTAGCGGAGTTCCGCTTTGCCCTAGGCTAATGCTATGTAATGTACAAATATCAAGGCACAGGAGTATATTAAGTCCTGCTTTTTGAATTTGCACTGTTCTGAGGACGGCATACCTAGTGTGCCAAAACTAGTCAACTAATAAAGTTACAGAAGATCTTCATTGGCGTTGTCTGGTCCTGCTTACTGATTTTTTAACCTATCCTTTGGTACCGGACTCGGTATTCCCTCAGGGAATCCGCTATGGAGTGATACCGGACTTACCAGCCTTACCTCTTGGACGTTGGATCTCTTTTTCTTCGTATTTCCACCATTTTGTTTTTCTGATCAGTTCCAAAATTGAAAGGACAGAACTAGGGACCAAGGGATCCTACATATGAAACTTGGTAAAGATCCATCAAGTAGTGCTTGAGAAAATGTGACAATAGGATTGTTTACGGATGGACGTGGACCACTGATAAAGCGTAATTAAGTTGAACAGCTCTGATGACTGTGGGCTAAAAATCCACTGTGTACAGAAGTAACAACACTAAATGACAGATCCCTAAACATGGCTGATAAAGTGTACAAGGTTCCTTGATTACTTGGTCAAAGTGACTTCAAAACTTAACACAAATTAATATTCCAAATTCTTTATTCAGATCAAACAAAACAACACTATGTATACAAGAACGGTATGATTGGTCCATCCCTATACTTGTCTTAGTGATAAGTATGATTGGTCCGTCCCTATACTTGTCTTAGTGATAAGTATGATTGGTCCGTCCCTATACTTGTCTTAGTGATAAGTATGATAGGTCTGTCCCTACAAGTATTATAGGTCCGTCCCTATACTTGTCTTTGTGATAAGTATGATAGGTCCGTCCCTATACTCGTCTTAGTGATAAGTATGATAGGACCGTCCCTATACTTGTCTTAGTGATAAGTATGATAGGTCCGTCCCTATACTCGTCTTAGTGATAAGTATGATAGGTCCGTCCCTATACTCGTCTTAGTGATAAGTATGATTGGTACGTCCCTATACTTGTCTTAGTGATAAGTATGATAGGTCTGTCCCTACAAGTATGATAGGTCCGTCCCTATACTTGTCTTAGTGATAAGTATGATAGGTCCGTCCCTATACTTGTCTTAGTGATAAGTATGATAGGTCCGTCCCTATACTTGTCTTAGTGATAAGTATGATAGGTCCGTCACTATACTTGTCTTAGTGATAAGTATGATAGGTCCGTCCCTATACTTGTCTTAGTGATAAGTATGATAGGTCCGTCCCTATACTTGTCTTAGTGATAAGTATGATAGGTCCGTCCCTACAAGTATGATAGGTCCGTCCCTATACTTGTCTTAGTGATAAGTATGATAGGTCCGTCCCTATACTTGTCTTAGTGATAAGTATGATAGGTCCGTCCCTATACTTGTCTTAGTGATAAGTATGATAGGTCCGTCCCTATACTTGTCTAAGTGATAAGTATGATAGGTCCGTCACTATACTTGTCTTAGTGATAAGTATGATAGGTCTGTCCCTACAAGTATGATAGGTCCGTCCCTAAACTTGTCTTAGAGATATGATAGGTCCATCCCTATACTTGTCTTAGTGATAAGTATGATAGGTCCGTCCCTATACTTGTCTTAGTGATAAGTATGATAGGTCCGTCCCTATACTTGTCTAAGTGATAAGTATGATAGGTCCGTCACTATACTTGTCTTAGTGATAAGTATGATAGGTCTGTCCCTACAAGTATGATAGGTCCATCCCTATACTTGTCTTAGTGATAAGTATGATAGGTCCGTCCCTATACTTGTCTTAGTGATAAGTATGATAGGTCCGTCCCTATACTTGTCTTAGTGATAAGTATGATAGGTCCGTCACTATACTTGTCTTAGTGATAAGTATGATAGGTCTGTCCCTACAAGTATGATAGGTCCATCCCTATACTTGTCTTAGTGATAAGTATGATAGGTCCGTCCCTATACTTGTCTTAGTGATAAGTATGATAGGTCCGTCCCTATACTTGTCTTAGTGATAAGTATGATTGGTCCGTCCCTATACTTGTCTTAGTGATAAGTATGATTGGTCCGTCCCTATACTTGTCTTAGTGATAAGTATGATAGGTCCGTCCCTATACTTGTCTTAGTGATAAGTATGATAGGTCCGTCCCTATACTTGTCTTAGTGATAAGTATGATAGGTCCGTCCCTATACTTGTCTTAGTGATAAGTATGATAGGTCTGTCCCTTTACTTGTCTTAGTGATAAGTATGATAGGTCTGTCCCTACAAGTATGATAGGTCCGTCCCTGTACTTGTCTTAGTGATAAGTATGATAGGTCTGTCCCTTTACTTGTCTTAGTGATAAGTATGATAGGTCTGTCCCTACAAGTATGATAGGTCCGTCCCTGTACTTGTCTTAGTGATAAGTATGATAGGTCTGTCCCTACAAGTATGATTGGTCCGTCCCTATACTTGTCTTAGTGATAAGTATGATTGGTCCGTCCCTATACTTGTCTTAGTGATAAGCACCAAAATAAAGCTAATGCCTTTGTGATAAGTAAAATAAGTTTGATAAGTTTGTTTATCTCTATTTCCTTCACAGATCAATACCAGCTTAGACACAGTTTAACCATTAATTTTCAATTCTACATCAATAATCCACACAGACCCAGTAAACCAGTCATCTCATTATGATAAATCCCTTTCTGCTTTAACATGATTTTCATTGAAAGTTGACAATTAATAATAGGTAATTAAGTAAACATCACCTATCTCATGAGCTGTTGTACAATAAATATTCTATGGTTTAGCCATACAAAAAATGCTGTTACAATGTAGAATCAATTTCAACAACAGTAGTTAGTAGCGTCAGCTGTTCAGAAGGCATTAGACACCCTCTCATCTTTGATGGCATATTGCAGCCAGGTGTACGTTACATGATTTGTAATATCATGTCATCAGCACCCTGGTCCCAAGACAAGTCCGAAATCAAGCCCACCCATCAGCTAAAACTGACAAGCATCGATCACACGGAGATTTTCTGTTGTCAGTAGTGTAACGGCGACAACGTTCACAGATATCTTTCATGGCAGGTGATAACAGCAGTACATACTCTTCTGGCTCCTTAACTCCCTCTGTCACAGAATAATAAACAGTCAATAACAAGGCTTTATTGTTTAATCCAAAAAAATATTTATTACAACAGAAATATTAAAATCACAGGTAAAATCCGAGTGACCTTGTGATAGCTTTGGTATGGACAACAAGAGTACTAACAAACACCAGTTGTCTCACTCTATACTTGACTTATACAATCTGATGACTGTCTCACTCAATATCAAACTATTTAACAACTACTTACTGTATATCAGACATAAACAAACTGACAACTGGCTCACTATATATCAGACATAAACAAACTGACAACTGGCTCACTATATATCAAGACATAAACAAACTGACAACTGGCTCACTATATATCAGACATAAACAAACTGACAACTGGCTCACTATATATCAAGACATAAACAAACTGACAACTGGCTCACTATATATCAGACATAAACAAACTGACAACTGGCTCACCATATATCAGACATAAACAAACTGACAACTGGCTCACCATATATCAGACATATACAAACTGACAACTGGCTCACTCTATATCTCAGTCTGAGGGACACCATTACCTTGAATAATTATTTTAATTTGATTCTTAAACTAGAAAATGTCTATATGACACATACGGCCCACTAAGTAGCAATGCTAAGTTTGTATAATATCAGATAAAACTTACCAATAACAGAGATTTTAGAGGCACCATTCAGGACAACACACTCATCGGGGATGACATCGGGAGCTACTGTTGTTAGATGTGTGTAAGATGTCTGTAAAATTTCTGTTAACGGTGAAGTAGCAGACGACACTTCAGACTGGAATTGCTACAACAATATATGAGATATAATTAAAGGTTAATATTTACAGTCAGTAACAAACATTGTGACACAGAAACCAAACTATTAAATTGTTGACAAAAGCCAACAATTGTGAAGGGTGTGACGTTAGTATCTTCAGTGAGAACTTACCTGTAGAACAGTAGTATCTTCAGTAAGAACTCACCTGTAGAACAGTAGTATCTTCAGTAAGAACTTACCTGTAGAACAGTAGTATCTTCAGTAAGAACTTACCTGTAGAACAGTAGTATCTTCAGTAAGAACTCACCTGTAGAACAGTAGTATCTTCAGTAAGAACTCACCTGTAGAACAGTAGTATCTTCAGTAAGAACTCACCTGTAGAACAGTAGTATCTTCAGTAAGAACTCACCTGTAGAACAGTAGTATCTTCAGTAAGAACTCACCTGTAGAACAGTAGTATCTTCAGTAAGAACTCACCTGTAGAACAGTAGTATCTTCAGTAAGAACTCACCTGTAGAACAGTAGTATCTTCAGTAAGAACTCACCTGTAGAACAGTAGTATCTTCAGTAAGAACTCACCTGTAGAACAGTAGTATCTTCAGTAAGAACTCACCTGTAGAACAGTAGTATCTTCAGTAAGAACTCACCTGTAGAATATTGTGAAGATTGTGACTACAGTACAAAGTGAGGTCAAACTCCACAGGTCGTTTGACGTCAGCAGCAAAATCAATGTCTTCCTTCATACTCAGAACAGGCTGCATGAAGTTCAGAATGGCACAGTCTGCCCAGGCAGTGTCTAAGGCAAACCAGTTAGACTTGAACACACTGCTCTCCTCTGGTGGTAAACGAGAGTCATAATAATTCAGGTGTAAAATTATGATTGATTGGAAAATATGAATACAATTTATTGATGATTTTGACAGATGACAGGATTTGGAGATCTGAGATAATTACCTGATTTTGTCAGATGATAGAATTTGGAAATCTGAGATAATTATATGATTTTGACAATTGATAGAAATTGGAGATCTGAAATAATTACTTGATTTTGTCAGATCAAGAAGCCGTTTCTTCAATATTTCTATGGTTGATGCTTTTTTGTTGATGCCTTGTTCAATTATGATCTACTTTTTCCTTGATTTTTGGGCCAAAGGTAAACCCAGTGATTTGATCTCTAGTTAGCTTACTTCTTGTTTAATCCTGACCAAATTTGCTGAATGTAATTTCATAACAAAATATTCATCGGTGAAAAGTAATTTGATCTTGACCATTGACCAGTGACCTAGACCTCTTAGAACCAAGTGACCTTGGTCTCTGACCTTGAGATCCTGACTTCAAGTGAGTTGACTTCTTAAATTCTGTCTAAATTCACCATGCCAAAAAAAATGATCATCTGTTGAAAAATTACAAAATCTTAAATGAGGGGCCCTAGATACCTGATTTTGAGAAATGTTGATGTAACTCTTCTGCCAGGTGAGGAACAATTGGTGCTAAAGACTTCACAAATATGTCTGTCACATGATACAACACCGTCTGGGCAGACCTTCTGGCTTTGTCATCAGCAGCTGTACAATACAGTCTGTAACACGTCAGTTTAAAAGATATTTTCACACAACCAAGGCATGCATGAAGTCTTGTATGTAATCACACAGCATGTCTGTAACAGTGGCAACATCACATGGGTTTTTTTATCAATGTAAACAAAAAAAATTAACTGCTATGGTAAAATGATTACTCTCACTTCAATTTAATCTGAAGAAACCATGTCAATTTCACTTTCACTTTGACAAATCAATCTGACTCGACAAAGACAATTTTGTCTTAACTCACGTCAACCTGATCCAAAAGTTTACAGCTAAATCATAAAAACTTAATTACATTATTTTTTAACTTGATGTATATTGATATTAGCACCCCATTTCTTGGTGTGAGATGTTAGCTTACTGTAGGTATATACAAGTTGGTATACCTGTCTTTGATGATACTGCAGTAAAACGCAGACAGATCTATATTAGTGAATTTTTCCAACAGTCCTAGTACTCTTCCATAACGATAACTGTCATAGGATTGTGTCACCTGAGAAAAAATACATTTTAGTCTCAAGTCCTGAAATCTTAAGATAAATACCATAAAATAGTTATCTTCTATAAACTTTGTAAATGTCTACTACAAAAGTGCATTAAGGCCTAAAGTGACCACTATACCCCACTAGATGTATGTAACAGTTGATATACTTATATTTTGGTATATTGTACAGAATATATTACTTGTCCAATTTCTAAATTTATCATGTACATATTTCACCTTGCATTCAAACCAGGTGCCTTAAAGACATCATATACCTGTTCAGCTAAATTGTACAGCTGGTACAACATGTATTTGTCCTGTGGCCAGAGCTGATCATAAGGCATCAATTCATCAGATTGGAAATCGTGTATATTCCCCAGCACAAACTTCATCACCTTCCTAATCTACAGAAACAAAAGTTTAGTTGAATAAGGTGGCAATGCATGTCTACTTTATTCAGGTGTATATAACTGATGTTGTGCCCACAATATCTAGTTTTATAACCTAATTAACTATACAACGAGGATGTTCTATATGAAACTACTAGGTCATCCTTACAATATTTTGATCTTAAATTATTTTGTCTCACCTCATCACCTGCATGTTGCAGATCTGAACATAAACTTGTCTGAGCTAGACCATTCAAGATATCACCTAAAATTTCTCATAGACTTTTCCTTAATTTTGTCTTACCTCAGTGTCTCAGACCTTTCTGTAATTTTGTCTTACCTAAATCTCTCAGTCCTTTCCTTAATTTTTTTCTCACTAAATCTCTCAGATCTTTCCTCAATTTTGTCTTACCTAAATCTCTCAGGTCTTTCCTTAATTTTGTCTTACCTAAATCTCTCAGGCCTTTCATTAATTTCATCTTACCTAAATCTCTCAGACCTTTCCTTAATTTTATCTTACCTAAATCTCTCAGACCTTTCCTTAATTTTATCTTACCTAAATCTCTCAGACCTTTCCTTAATTTTATCTTACCTAAATCTCTCAGACCTTTCCTTAATTTTATCTTACCTAAATCTCTCAGAACTTAACTTCATTTATTTTCAACTACACCTTTTGTACCTTACCTTGAAGATATCTTCATTACATCTTTGTAGTATGGACGGACCAATCAGGACCATAGGTTGTAGTTGAGCCTGAGCAGTCCACCATCTCAATACATCCACACCATAGGATGGCTCCTTTTCCTGGTTCTATACAACAATATATGCAAACAATATTCACAATATACAGCGATACATACGAACAATATTCACAATATACAACAATACATACGAACAATATTCACAATATACAGCGATACATACGAACAATATTCACAATACACAGCGATACATACGAACAATATTCACAATATACAGCGATACATACAAACAATATTCACAATGTACAGCGATACATACGAACAATATTCACAATATACAGCGATACATACAAACAATATTCACAATATACAGCGATACATACAAACAATATTCACAATATACAGCGATACATACAAACAATATTCACAATATACAACAATATATACAAACAATATTCACAATATACAGCGATACATACAAACAATATTCACAATATACAGCGATACATACAAACAATATTCACAATATACAGCGATACATACAAACAATATTCACAATATACAGCGATACATACAAACAATATTCACAATATACAGCGATACATACAAACAATATTCACAATATACGGCGATACATACAAACAATATTCACAATATACAACAATACACAATATACAACAATACATACAAACAATATTCACAATATACGGCGATACATACGAACAATATTCACAATATACAGCGATACATACGAACAATATTCACAATATACAGCGATACATACCAACAATATTCACAATATACAGCGATACATACCAACAATATTCACAATATACAGCGATACATACCAACAATATTCACAATATACAGCGATACATACCAACAATATTCACAATATACAGCGATACATACCAACAATATTCACAATACACAACAATATATACCAACAATATTCACAATATACAGCGATACATACAAACAATATTCACAATATACAGCGATACATACCAACAATATTCACAATATACAGCGATACATACCAACAATATTCACAATATACAGCGATACATACCAACAATATTCACAATATACAGCGATACATACCAACAATATTCACAATATACAGCGATACATACCAACAATATTCACAATATACAGCGATACATACCAACAATATTCACAATACACAGCGATACATACCAACAATATTCACAATATACAGCGATACATACCAACAATATTCACAATATACAGCGATACATACCAACAATATTCACAATACACAACAATATATACCAACAATATTCACAATATACAGCGATACATACAAACAATATTCACAATATACAGCGATACATACAAACAATATTCACAATATACGGCGATACATACAAACAATATTCACAATATACAGCGATACATACAAACAATATTCACAATATACAGCGATACATACCAACAATATTCACAATATACAGCGATACATACCAACAATATTCACAATATACAGCGATACATACCAACAAAATTCACAATACACAACAATATATACCAACAATATTCACAATATACAGCGATACATACAAACAATATTCACAATATACAGCGATACATACCAACAATATTCACAATACACAACAATATATACCAACAATATTCACAATATACAGCGATACATACCAACAATATTCACAATATACAGCGATACATACCAACAATATTCACAATACACAGCGATACATACCAACAATATTCACAATATACAGCGATACATACCAACAATATTCACAATATACAGCGATACATACCAACAATATTCACAATATACAGCGATACATACCAACAATATTCACAATATACAGCGATACATACAAACAATATTCACAATATACAGCGATACATACCAACAATATTCACAATACACAGCGATACATACCAACAATATTCACAATATACAGCGATACATACCAACAATATTCACAATACACAGCGATACATACCAACAATATTCACAATATACAGCGATACATACCAACAATATTCACAATATACAGCGATACATACCAACAATATTCACAATATACAGCGATACATACCAACAATATTCACAATACACAGCGATACATACCAACAATATTCACAATATACAGCGATACATACCAACAATATTCACAATATACAGCGATACATACCAACAATATTCACAATATACAGCGATACATACCAACAATATTCACAATATACAGCGATACATACGAACAATATTCACAATATACAGCGATACATACGAACAATATTCACAATATACAGCGATACATACCAACAATATTCACAATATACAGCGATACATACCAACAATATTCACAATACACAACAATACATACCAACAATATTCACAATATAGGACAGCTCCTTCTTTACACAAGCACAACACAGCCAGCGAAATTTAAGATCACATAAACCCTAGTGAACACCAAGCCTGAAAGCTTTGAATTAAACAGTTACTAAAATTTGTCACCATGGCTTTGTGGTAATTATGAGATAAATTAAGTTATATTGATAATTACAAGACTTAAAAATTCACTGTTTCAGGATCTACCATGTTCCCAACAGATATGTATTTAAAATCACCATGACAACTGAATGACTTACTTTACCACCATATATCACTGCCTCAGGATCTACCACATTCCCAACAGACTTTGACATTTTCTTTCCATCTTCATCTACAGCAAACCCATGTACAACAAGCTGCCTGAAAATCACCAGTTCAGACTCCATCAGAATTGTGAAAATTAATATAGCAAACATTTCATTGTATTCTGCAACTGGTGCATGAATAATTTTCACTGACCTCAGAAAAATGGTATCTTAATTTTTTCCATAACACTCTGATCTAAGATGAATTTTCAGACCACTTCAGCATATACTGACTTCTATAAAAATGATACGACTGTACAAGGTTATAAGGCATCATACACATGCATTTTTCTATAGATAAAATCATCAACACATAGACAATACTATAAAACATCTGTCAAAATAGTCTGGATATTTCAGACAAAAATGATACACTTGGATGACCTCTGTGACTGTGCAAGTCAGGTGATAAGTTAAGCTTGGTTGATCATGATTCAGGTTGATCATGATTCAGGTGACAACTTACCTGTATGGAGGGATGTTGTTTGTGCTAGATTGGTCAGGTGACAACTTACCTATATGGAGGGATGTCATTTGTGCTAGATTGGTCAGGTGACAACTTACCTGTATGGAGGGATGTTGTTTGTGCTAGATTGGTCAGGTGACAACTTACCTATATGGAGGGATGTTGTTTGTGCTAGATTGGTCAGGTGACAACTTACCTATATGGAGGGATGTCATTTGTGCTAGACTGGTCAGGTGACAACTTACCTGTATGGAGGGATGTCGTTTGTGCTAGATTGGTCAGGTGACAACTTACCTGTATGGAGGGATGTCATTTGTGCTAGATTGGTCAGGTGACAACTTACCTATATGGAGGGATGTCATTTGTGCTAGATTGGTCAGGTGACAACTTACCTGTATGGAGGGATGTCATTTGTGGCAATACTGGTTAGGAGAGAGGACTGGAACCAACCTCCAAATTGATCCAACCCCTCCAGGTAAAGGTCAGCTCTCTCTATCCCATCTATGATAAACATAACACAATACAGTCTTGGCTAGTAATAAATCCTAAGACTTTGTTTAACTTCCTAGAGAGAGAGGACCCTTACAAATTATTAAACAAGTTTCACAATAGCCTGGTATTTTTTACCTTTACTTAAGGTCTTATTCTGGTAATAATCATGGATTAATTAGTAAATTTTTTGATGTGATGAACAGACATCAGTATTACTATATTATCCCCTCCCACTAATTACCAGTATGAAAACGGAAATGAAACTAGAACTGTTGCCAGGATAGCAGGCTAATACCCCCGCTCTCAAATAAATATAAAATTTAGAGAGGTTGTCCTGACAAGAATTCTCCAAGAGGTCTTCATTCAGTTACCATGACAACCAAATGGAAATCAATTTTTCTATTTTTTTTTTTTAAAAATAGTATCATTTTATCTGTCATTCCCATAAATCTTTTTATACCAATTTTTAACTTAATCAGATAATGTCTTAATTTCAACCAATCAAAAGCATCCAAAATGGTAAAGGTTTTGGAACACCTAATATGTAAAATTATAGGCTATAATTATCTTTAGCACCTGATCAAGTTCAAAGTAATCAATTAAAGGGCTAAGAGCTATGACACCTTATGTGAAAACTTGCGCATAGTGACCTGGTTACCATGGCAGCCAAAATTTCTGCTTAAAAAACCTGCATGCACATTTGCACATCTACACATAGCCCCTAACATCCCTGTTCGGTTTCATTGAACTAAGTCCACAACATTAGGAGCAGTCTGGAAAACATTCATCTAATTATGGGTCTCATGTGGTTACCATAGCAACCAAATGACATGAGATGTTTTTGAAAATGGTAAGGATGTAATTGTCTTCCTTCTAAATGCTGATATTTCAATTTTTCATCTGAATTGAACAATATCTTAATTTCAATCTACATATGAAAAGTGAGAATGATTCATCCAGTACTTTTCAAAAAATGTCGATAACAAACTTAATTGAAAAAATCAAAGATGGTCATCTGTCAGTCAATTTTGTTTCTCTGATCAGTCCCAAAAATGAAGGGGCTCAAGAAATAGTGATAACACAAACTGTTTACGCACAGATGGACGGACGGCTGATTCAGGTTTACCACCTTTTGTTACAGGGGAGTATAATGAAGCTCTGCCAAAGTAAGAACAGTTAAGTACCCAAGTATCAACAGGTAGGTAGCCAGGTATCAACAGGTAGGTAGCCAGGCATCAACAGGTAGGTAACCAGGCATAAACAGGTAGGTAACCAGGTATCAACAGGTAGGTAACCAGGCATAAACAGGTAGGTAACCAGGTATCAACAGGTAGGTAACCAGGCATAAACAGGTAGGTAACCAGGTATCAACAGGTAGGTAACCAGGCATAAACAGGTAGGTAACCAGGCATAAACAGGTAGGTAACAGGTAGGTAACCAGGCATAAACAGGTAGGTAACAAGGCATAAACAGGTAGGTAACAGGTAGGTAACCAGGCATAAACAGGTAGGTAACAGGTAGGTAGCCAGGCATAAACAGGTAGGTAACCAGGCATCTACAGGTAGGTAACCAGGCATAAACAGGTTGGTAACCAGGCATAAACAGATAGTTAACCAGGCATAAACAGGTAGGTAACCAGGCATAAACAGGTAGGTAACCAGGTATCAACAGGTAGGTAACCAAGCATAAACAGGTAGGTAACCAGGCATAAACAGGCAGGCAGCCAGGCATAAACAGGTAAGTAACCGGTCACAAACAGGTAGGTAACCAGGCATAAACAGGTAGGTAACCAGGCATAAACAGGTAGGTAACAGGTAGGTAACCAGGCATAAACAGGTAGGTAACAGGTAGGTAACCAGGCATAAACAGGTAGGTAACAGGTAGGTAGCCAGGCATAAACAGGTAGGTAGCCAGGCATAAACAGGTAGGTAACCAGGCATCTACAGGTAGGTAACCAGGCATAAACAGGTTGGTAACCAGGCATAAACAGATAGTTAACCAGGCATAAACAGGTAGGTAACCAGGCATAAACAGGTAGGTAACCAGGTATCAACAGGTAGGTAACCAGGCATAAACAGGTAGGTAACCAGGCATAAACAGGCAGGCAGCCAGGCATAAACAGGTTCGTAACCGGTCATAAACAGGTAGGTAACCAGGCATAAACAGGTAGGTAAGCCCAGAACATTCTCACCTTTGTGTAGTACAGACCATGATGATCCACTGTCAAACCAGATGTCCAGAATATCTCCTCCCTTGGTAAAATCTGACGAGCTAGCCCCCATCTGTAACAACAAATCAGACCAAGTAATTAAACATTCAGGTAAATTTGACCACTTACCTGGTCAAGCATGTACTAGGGTAGAAGTTCTTCCTCAGACATTGACAACCAACAGTTCCTGCTGTGTTAAGTTACCTATGTCCACTTACCTGGTCAAGCATGTACCTTGGACAACCAACAGTTCCTGCTGTGTTAAGTTACCTATGTCCACTTACCTGACATTGATCATCAACAGTTCCTGCTGTGTTAAGTTACCTATGTCCACTTACCTGGTCAAACATGTCCTTGGGTAGTAATTCTACCTGTGACATTGATCATCAACAGTTCCTGCTGTGTTAAGTTACCTATGTCCACTTACCTGGTCAAACATGTCCTTGGGTAGAAGTTCTTCCTCAGACATGGACCACCAACAGTTCCTGCTGTGTTAAGTTACCTATGTCCACTTACCTGGACAAGCATGTCCTTGGGTAGAAGTTCTTCCTCAGACATGGACCACCAACAGTTCCTGCTGTGTTAAGTTACCTATGTCCACTTACCTGGACAAGCATGTCCTTGGGAAGTAATTCTACCTGTGACATTGATCATCAACAGTTCCTGCTGTGTTAAGTTACTTATGTCCACTTACCTGGACAAGCATGTCCTTGGGAAGTAATTCTACCTGTGACATTGATCATCAACAGTTCCTGCTGTGTTAAGTTACTTATGTCCACTTACCTGGACAAGCATGTCCTTGGGTAGAAGTTCTTCCTCAGACATTGACAACCAACAGTCCCTGCTGTGTTAAGTTACTTATGTCCACTTACCTGGACAAACATGTCCTTGGGTAGTAATTCTACCTGTGACATTGATCATCAACAGTTCCTGCTGTGTTAAATTACCTACGTCCACTTACCTGGACAAGCATGTCCTTGGGTAGAAGTTCTTCCTCAGACATGGACCACCAACAGTCGCTGCCATGTTCGGTAAAGAGTTTCTTTAGGTGATCAATAGTTTGGCTGTAGAAAAACAAAATCTAGATTAGTTAAAGGACAAAAAGCAGAGACAACGCAATGACCTTGATGGTGGTTTGCTGACATCATTCATTGTCTCCACAGAATATATGTTAAATATCTTAAGTCTAGGTCTGTTTGTTATTCAGAAGAAATTGTTTCAAAAAGAAGGCTGATGTTGAACAAGTACCACCACAGCATAAACTCTCTCTTTTGGCAGGAAAGCTGTAAAAACTTGGAAATATTTTTCAATGATAAATTGAATAAGAATTGGTTCAAATCTTTTGTTAAAAAAAGTGTAAATGACAATTCTAAATATTTGTAATTTATGACATTCATTGTTAACACCTCATGAACTTGTAATTAAACAGCCAAAGTATAGACATACCTGTTGGTGTTGACTTACATGTTGATGAAGTGTAGACTTACCTAATGATGAAGTAAAGACTTACCTGTTGATGAAGTGTAGACTTATACCTTGATGAGATGTAGGCTTACCTGTTGATGAAGTGTAGACTTACCTGTTGATGAAGTATAGACTTACCTGTTGATGAAGTGTAGACTTACCTGTTGATGAAGTATAGACTTACCTGTTGATGAAGTGTAGACTTACCTGTTGATGAAGTGTAGACTTATCTGTTGATGAGAGGTAGACTTACCTGTTGATGAAGTATAGACTTACCTGTTGATGAAGTATAGACTTACCTGATGAAGTATAGACTTACCTGTTGATGAAGTATAGACTTACCTGTTGATGAGATGTAGACTTACATGTTGAAGTGTAGACTTACCTGTTGATGAAGTATAGACTTACCTGTTAATGAAGTATAGACTTACATGTTGATGAGGTATAGACTTACCTGTTGATGAAGTATAAACTTACCTGTTGATGAGGGCTTTGCCAGTGACTTTGTGATAGAACACAGGTATAGGTAGTCCCCATGCCCTCTGACGAGAGATACACCAATAGGTACGTTCCTTCAGCTGTGCCAACATGCCATGTTCAGAAGCATTGGGTGTAATATCTACTGAACTCAAACTTTCCTGTGATGTAACAAAACAAATATATTAAAGGATGCCTCTATAATGGTTCTAATGATCTAGCTCATTTACTCTGCTAATTTCAACATTAATATTGGAGACATTGATTCTGATAAAAGCAATATATTTCTGACAGCAGGGCTATTGATACAGCTGTCTTCTTTCCATCCATGTGGTGGATCTTGGTGATGTACTAACAACCTAGAATCTACTATCCAGAGAAGCAGCAGAAATATACTATCCAAAGTATATTGGTAGGGATTAACATCAAGAGAATTTTCAGAGAAATATCCTTCAGGGAAACCGAAACGATTTACCATGTAGAGAATTAACATGGAATTATCATTAAGAAAATTTCAAATGATTAACATCCAGAGATTTAGCAGTGATTTAAAATTCAGAGAATTAGCAGGGATTAACATCCAGAGAATTAGCAGGGATTAACATCCACAGAATTAGCAGGGATTAACATCCACAGAATTAGCAGTGATTTAAAATTCAGAGATTTAGCAGTGATTTAAAATTCAGAGAATTAGCAGGGATTAACATCCAGAGAATTAGCAGTGATTTAAAATTCAGAGAATTAGCAGGGATTAACATCCAGAGAATTAGCAGGGATTAACATCCACAGAATTAGCAGGGATTAACATCCACAGAATTAGCAGGGATTAACATCCACAGAATTAGCAGGGATTAACATCCAGAGAATTAGCAGGGATTAACATCCACAGAATTAGCAGGGATTGACATCCACAGAATTAGCAGGGATTAGCATCCAGAGAATTAGCAGGGATTAACATCCACAGAATTAGCAGGGATTAACATCCACAGAATTAGCAGGGATTAACATCCACAGAATTAGCAGGGATTAACATCCACAGAATTAGCAGGGATTAACATCCACAGAATTAGCAGGGATTAACATCCAGAGAATTAGCAGGGATTAACATCCACAGAATTAGCAGGGATTAACATCCATAGAATTAGCAGGGATTAACATCCATAGAATTAGCAGGTATTATTATCCAGAGATAAGCAGGGATTACTTAATCAGAGAGGGACTTACCACAGCTTTGTCCTTGATTTTGTTGGTGTTGATGAACCACTGTTTGCTGGCCCTAATGATGACAGGTTGTTTGGTCCGCCAATCATATGGGTAGCTGTGCTGGTAGGAGGATTTATGGATAACACTCTCCTTTAGCATCTCAATCACTGGAAAATAAGATCACATTGATCAGTATCTCAGCTCTTGTCCTGAAATTCTGAAAGAACTGGATTGAGATTTGTTTCCACAAAAAACAACACCAAAGGATTTCATAACTACTTCCTGACTAATAAAGACATTAAATGTAAACTTCAATAACATTCAGGATAATGTTTAACAATGGGGACCTTACCTGTACTGTAGGTGTCCTTGCTAACTCTGTAGAGTGGAACCCTTACCTGTACTGTAGGTGTCCTTGCTAACTCTGTAGAGTGGAACCCTTACCTGTACTGTAGGTGTCCTTGCTAACTCTGTAGAGTGGAACCCTTACCTGTACTGTAGGTGTCCTTGCTAACTCTGTAGAGTGGAACCCTTACCTGTACTGTAGGTGTCCTTGCTAGCTCTGTAGAGTGGAACCCTTACCTGTACTGTAGGTGTCCTTGCTAACTCTGTAGAGTGGAACCCTTACCTGTACTGTAGGTGTCCTTGCTAACTCTGTAGAGTGGGACCCTTACCTGTACTATAGGTGTCCTTGCTAGCTCTGTAGAGTGGAACCTTTACCTGTACTGTTGGTGTCCTTGCTAACTCTGTAGAGTGGAACCCTTACCTGTACTGTAGGTGTCCCTGCTAACTCTGTAGAGTGGAACCCTTACCTGTACTCTAGGTGTCCTTGCTAGAGTGGAACCCTTACCTGTACTGTAGGTGTCCTTGCTAACTCTGTAGAGTGGAACCCTTACCTGTACTGTCAGTGTTATTGACTACTGTTTTCCATTGTAGAGTGGAACCCTTACCTGTACTGTCAGTGTTATTGACTACTGTTTTCCATTGTAGAGTGGAACCCTTACCTGTACTGTCAGTGTTATTGACTACTGTTTTCCCCCGTAGAGTGGGACCCTTACCTGTACTGTCAGTGTTATTGACTACTGTTTTCCATTGTAGAGTGGAACCCTTACCTGTACTGTCAGTGTTATTGACTACTGTTTTCCATTGTAGAGTGGAACCCTTACCTGTACTGTCATTGTCTTTGCCTACTGTTTTCCCCCGTAGAGTGGAACCCTAACCTGTACTGTCAGTGTCTTCGCCTACCGTTTTCCCCCGTAGAGTGGAACCCTTACCTGTACTGTCAGTGTCTTTGCATACTGTTTTCCCCCATAGAGTGGAACCCTTACCTGTACTGTCAGTGTTATTGACTACTGTTTTCCCCCGTAGAGTGGGACCCTTACCTGTACTGTCAGTGTTATTGACTACTGTTTTCCATTGTAGAGTGGAACCCTTACCTGTACTGTCAGTGTTATTGACTACTGTTTTCCATTGTAGAGTGGAACCCTTACCTGTACTGTCATTGTCTTTGCCTACTGTTTTCCCCCGTAGAGTGGAACCCTAACCTGTACTGTCAGTGTCTTCGCCTACCGTTTTCCCCCGTAGAGTGGAACCCTTACCTGTACTGTCAGTGTCTTTGCATACTGTTTTCCCCCATAGAGTGGAACCCTTACCTGTACTGTCAGCATCTTTACCTACTGTTTTCCCCCGTAGAGTGGAACCCTTACCTGTACTGTCAGCATCTTTGCCTACTGTTTTCCCCTGTAGAGAGGAACCCTTACCTGTACTGTCAGCGTCTTTGCCTACTGTTTTCCCCAGAGAGTGGAACCCTTACCTGTACTGTCAGCGTCTTTGCCCACTGTTTTCCCTTTTAGAATTTGGCCAGCCTCTTCAGTGTACACGCCCTCATCGTCCACAATACTTTTCTGATCAAATCAAAATTAATGAAAGTACTTTATAATGAACATAATACAGATACTCCAGCAACAAAACTATATTACAGTACAAAGACACTGTGATCATAGTGGTGAGATTTAGGTGTCAAACTGCATAATCAATAGTTCATACAAATTTACAAATATTAACAAGTTTTTATCACGTGTGTCTGATACAAAAAAGAATTTATAAATAAAACTTTTGTCCTCACTATGGTGATATTGTTGTTAAAGGCAACTTTGAAGTCATCATGGCCATGACAAGGTGCGGTGTGAACAAATCCAGTCCCTTTTCCTGATACCACATGATTGGCTGGCAGGAAAGGAAGCACCTCGTTGGTCAAGGGATGGGTATACTGAGCTCCATTAAAAAACTTCCCTGTCAACATAAAAAAAACTTTAACATCTTATCCATATATAATCATAAAAAGGATAGCACATCATTAATCTGAGCGAAATTTGACAAACAATAGTCAATACGACACGAAGCAATTAAACAAAAGATCTGAGTGATGTTGGTGCCCACCATTGTTTAGTCTTTCTTTGTTCTTTAAAAGCTTGATTTTTCACCCTCTTTTCTTTTCTTTTCTTTGTTACTTCTCTTAATCATATAAAACTTGGAAAATTCCTCTTAAAGCCTCTCTACCTTTATACAACTAAAACTGTCTCTAATTAAACAGTCATCCCCTATTTTCTTCCTTCAGTTTCCATCAAATCTACACAGCTATGTTAACAATCCATTTGTAAAAAATGTCAGAAATTTTCAAAAACAGAATTGGTCAACTTTCATGCATAAAAATATCTAAACTGCATGCAATGATTTTACATCCCAGTATAGTAAATAGGATATCATTGCTAACTGCTTTTGGGTAAGTGGTAAGTTATTTGCTAATACTACATTGTTTCAAAAAAATCTCTGAAAAGTTTTTCCAAAATATGATAAACACACAGCTTGAGCATAGCTTCCATGAAACTCTCCAATTTATTTACAGCTTTATAAAACATATGTCTGACCTTGAATTTCTGATTCATGATTTTGATAGACCGTTCACCAGTCTTCAAAACACACAACATACTTGAGATTGTTTGACATATTTTTTACAGTTCATATGCAAAGAGAGATTGCACTACTGAGTTAGAGATTCCCCGTTATCATTATGTAGTTACCTGGTTTTAATTGCAATTATGAAAAACTATGGTACTGATTCCACACAATATTATAATAACGGTACATACTCCATCACTCAACACGTTTTTGTAATTATTTTGAAAGATCTGTTCATTACTTCTCCAGAAATAATAATAACAAGTTATGACCGACAAAGATGAAGATATAGCCAACTCTCAGCCATCTTGTTTTAATAATCAATGAAGCCTGCACAACTAGGAACCAAGGTGAACCTAAATATCAAATCTGAGAATGACCCATCCAGTGCTTCTCAAGATAATTATCATTTATAATTAAACTGACCTTTAACCTTTGAAACAGAGAGAAAACCAATCCCAAACTACATGTCAACACACAACTTATCTTTAACCTCATTACTGTCATCACATAACTTATCTTTAACCTCATTACTGTCATCACATAACTTATCTTTAACCTCATTACTGTCATCACATAACTTATCTTTAACCTCATTACTGTCAACACATAACTTATCTTTAACCTCATTACTGTCATCACATAACTTATCTTTAACCTCATTACTGTCATCACATAACTTATCTTTAACCTCATTACTGTCATCACATAACTTTATTTAACCTCATTACTGTCATCACATAACTTATCTTTAACCTCATTACTGTCATCACATAACTTATCTTTAACCTCATTACTGTCATCACATAACTTTATTTAACCTGCTCACTGTTATCACAACACTAACCTTTAACCTTGTCACTGTCATCACACAACTTACCTTTTACTTTGTCACTATCATCACACAATTTACCTTTTACCTTGTCACTATAATCACACAATTTACCTTTAACCTTGCCACTATCATCCCACAATTTACCTTTAACCTTGTCACTATCATCACACAATTTACCTTTTACCTTGTCACTATAATCACACAATTTACCTTTAACCTTGCCACTATCATCCCACAATTTACCTTTAACCTTGCCACTATCATCCCACAATTTACCTTTAACCTTGTCACTGTCATCACACAATTTACCTTTTACTTTGTCACTATCATCACACAATTTACCTTTAACCTTGTCACTGTCATCACACAATTTACCTTTAACCTTGTCACTGTCATCATACAATTTGCCTTTTACTTTGTCACTGTCATCACACAATTTACCTTTAACTTTGTCACTATCATCACACAATTTACCTTTTATCTTGTCACTATCATCACACAATTTACCTTTTACCTTGTCACTGTCATCACACAATTTACCTTTAACCTTGTCACTATCATCACACAATTTACCTTTTACTTTGTCACTATCATCACACAATTTACCTTTAACCTTGTCACTGTCATCACACAATTTACCTTTAACCTTGTCACTGTCATCATACAATTTGCCTTTTACTTTGTCACTGTCATCACACAATTTACTTTTAACTTTGTCACTATCATCACACAATTTACCTTTTATCTTGTCACTATCATCACACAATTTACCTTCAACCTTGTCACTATCATCACACAATTTACCTTTTACCTTGTCACTGTCATCATACAATTTGCCTTTTACCTTGTCACTGTCATCACACAATTTACCTTTAACTTTGTCACTATCATCACACAATTTACCTTTTATCTTGTCACTATCATCACACAATTTACCTTTTACCTTGACACTGTCATCACACAATTTACCTTTTACCTTGTCACTGTAATAACACAATTTACCTTTAACCTTGTCACTGTCATCACATCTTTAACCTTGTCATTGTCATCACACAGTTTAAACTTTACCTTGTCAATGTCATCAAATAACTTACCTTTAACCTCATTAATCACAGTTAGAGGTTTACACAACAGATTCACCAATTTCTCCACAAAGATTTTCTCACAGACATACACATCTCCAGTGCTATGGTCCTGCAGTAGACAATACCTGGTGTAGGAATAGAAAATAAAAAATCATCACTCCAAGATAAAATACACCTGGGATGAGGACATTTTGTTTTCACTGTCGCTATATCTTCATTTGTCATTTATTACTTTTCTTCAATAAGGAATAGTGTCTGTGTTATTATTGCAAACAAATCTCCTAGAGGTGTCATGTAGCTATCATATTGCATCCTGTATTCCACAAACATTTCATCATTTAATTGCATTTTGTGACATGAATTTAATACACCTTAGTAAAATCACTAATTGTTGAAGGTGATGCTGTGCCCCAAGTAAGATGAATCCATGCCACATAATATACAACTTTTAGTGTTGGAGACCGAGTCCAGATAAACTTTGACGTAGGTCGAAGATCAAGAGTTAGGTCAAACTGACATACATCTAGTACATGACACACTACCTCACATAAGTTAAGCCATGCCTCAAGTATTAAGTTCCAGTGACAAGTGGTAGTGTAGGAAATGGCACACTAAATCACCAAGCTCATCCATGTCCAAAGTATGTAGTTCATGTAATGAAGTGGACAGAAAGATAAACAAAAACCTACAGCCCTACCAGTTCTTGATAAGGCGTTAAAAACATCCACAGACCCAACAACACTTACATTAGATTGTCATTGTAACATATTGCCTGATTGACAGGAAGCGTCCACGGTGTTGTTGTCCATATCACAGCATAAACTTTCTTATACGTCACTGGAAATAAATCATCAAACCGTAATATTTATTTGTTAAATTATAATCAAACTAGAGAACGGGTCTAATAGGAGTAGAGGCTGGTACAACAGGTCCTAGGTAAGATGTAGTGGTTTTGTATGGTAGGTCCTAGGTAAGATGTAGAGATTTGGTATGGTAGGTCCTAGGTAAGATGTAGAGGTTTGGTATGGTAGGTTCTTGATAGAAGTTACACACATTGGCTTCCTGTCTTTCAATATATTCATTTTTGGAAAGTTGTTACAATTCACGTAATTTTCATTTTGCTTTTTAAAATCTTATTTCAATCATGCCTGTGTTGAAACTTAACCATCAAAAGCATTGTTCTTCCTTAATATCCAGATACCTGACAAGTGAGTAACAATTAACCAATAATACAAAGAATGTAGAATATCATTTCTGAGTAAACAATGGTAAATCAATCTTACATTGGTTTATGTTGAGAGATGTCAGAGATGACGGGACGACTGGGAACCCCAGGTATACTGCCTGGCTGACATGGTGTGGATTATACTCAAGTTCTGCCTCAGCTAAAGCTGTTCTGTAATACAAAACAAAGAATTTTAAAACAAGATTATCAGTACTTCTGTTGAATGTTTCCAAAAAACAACTCTATTGGAAGTTTTTCCTGTCTGTAAACTTTGTATTTGATCATATTAATGACATGTATCTGCAAAAATAATGTTAAAATGGAAGACTTAGAGGAGGAAAGATTAATGTTGGATCATATTCTATATGTTAATTATGTCTAATATATACTAATGCTTGAATCATAAAAGTATGGGCACACCTCACTCTGTGATACTTGATGTACATGTCAGCTATAAACACTGACTGTCATTAGTATATTTTGGTATTGTCAATTAGAAGAATGATCAATAGTTTAAAGGTTACTGGCTTTATTAATGTTTTCAAAAATTTGTTTACTATAATGCTTTAATAAGTTTAACAAAGGGCAAAAATTCTGTAATCAATGGATTGGAGGCCTTGACTTTCATACAGTATATAGCATTTTGGTATAAACAATGTATATACCAAGTTTCATTATCCTAGTTAAACTGCATGATATATTATCAAACGGCAACTAAATGTTCCCCCTGAAAATTTTTGAGGAACACAAACAAAAGGCCAATAGGGACTGTATTGCTCACCTGACTTTGGTTGAAATTGCTTAAGTCACACGAAAGGAAATTGCAAAGGTTTTGATCTATTTTCTCATTGACACCAACCTCTCTACACACAGATGTCAGTGTAACATTTACAAAACAAAACCTTCACCAAAAATACTTCAGGCTGAATTAGAAGAGAATCCTATCATTCCTACAGAAGAAAAACGATTTTTGAAAAATGCTATATTTCCCCTGTTTCACCTCGACCCTTTTAGCCAAGGCTGCTTTAGACCAAACTTGGTCTTAATCCAATCCTTTCTGCAGGAGTGTTAGGCTCCCTCCCTCAGTTCTTAGAGGGCCAAGACCCAACATTTACACGAGGTTCCGCTTACCCTGCGATGCTTCTGACAAAAGTCATATGACTCACAACAGATTCTTTGTATAGAGGGAAACCAATAGAATGTTGTATTATATACCTAGAAGATGGAGTCCAATAGATTGTTGTATTATATACCTAGAAGATGGCGACCAATAGAATGTTGTGTTACATTCCTAGAGGATGGCGACCAATAGATTGTTGTGTTACATTCCTAGAAGATGGTGACCAATAGATTGTTGTGTTTCATACCTAGAAGATGGCGACCAATAGATTTGTGTTACATTCCTAGTGTAGATTGTTGTGTTACATTCCTAGAGGATGGAGTCCAATAGATTGTTGTGTTACATACCTAGAAGATGGTGACCAATAGATTGTTGTGTTTCATACCTAGAAGATGGCGACCAATAGAATGTTGTGTTACATACCTAGAAGATGGCGACCAATAGAATGTTTTGTTACATACCTAGAAGATGGAGTCCAATAGAATGTTGTGTTACATACCTAGAAGATGGCGACCAATAGATTGTTGTGTTACATACCTAGAAGATGGCGACCAATAGAATACATACCTAGAAGATGGAGACCAATAGATTGTTGTGTTACATACCTAGAAGATGGAGTCATACCTAAAGATGGCGAATAGAATGTTTTGTTACATACCTAGAAGATGGAGTCCAATAGAATGTTGTGTTACATACCTAGAAGATGGCGACCAATAGATTGTTGTGTTACATACCTAGAAGATGGAGACCAATAGAATGTTGTGTTACATACCTAGAAGATGGAGTCCAATAGAATGTTGTGTTACATACCTAGAAGATGGCGACCAATAGATTGTTGTGTTACATACCTAGAAGATGGAGACCAATAGAATGTTGTGTTACATACCTAGAAGATGGCGACCAATAGAATGTTGTGTTACATACCTAGAAGATGGCGACCAATAGATTGTTGTGTTACATACCTAGAAGATGGAGACCAATAGAATGTTGTGTTACATACCTAGAAGATGGCGACCAATAGATTGTTGTGTTACATACCTAGAAGATGGAGTCCAATAGAATGTTGTGTTACATACCTAGAAGATGGTGACCAATAGATTGTTGTGTTACATACCTAGAAGATGGCGACCAATAGAATGTTGTGTTACGTTCCTAGAAGATGGCGACCAATAGATTGTTGTGTTACATTCCTAGAAGATGGCGACCAATAGAATGTTTTGTTACATACCTAGAAGATGGCGACCAATCGAATGTTGTGTTACATACCTAGAAGATGGTGACCAATAAACTGGCATGAAATCCTCATAGACTAAGCCCTGTAAATGTAATTTCAGTAAATCATTAAGGTATTCAGAAAATGTTTCATTTCTTTAAAAGAAAATAACACATTTTTTACTATTCAAATGCAAAATCATGTTAATGATTTTGATGGACCAGATAATGGACACAGTGCCATGCCATGAAGTCAACAGTCTTCAGACCTAATGAGCTTACAAAAGATACAGAAGAAATCTTGCTGTTGTATGCTTATCACTTCTTTGCTGAAGAATCTTCTGGTAAATGATGAAAATTATCTTCTGATATAAAAATCGTATATAGCACCTGTATGCTATCTCTTTCTAAGATCAGCTGTAAACAGGCCAAACAAGAGATGATATGTAACCTTCATATGAAATTGAGAGTCTGTCAATTATTTCTAAAGAAAGTGGCCATCTAAGGAAACCTACACATGAAGTTTGAGGAAGATTCCAAAGGTATTTTGCAAGACAAGAGGCCCATGGGTCTTAACGATCACCTGAATTATGAAATATTTCAGTCAATTACACCAATTTTTGCCCCATCCATCAGCTCCTCTTAATATGTGATTACTTTCAATCTGCATTTCCACACAAATAACTATGACCAAGTTTAAATTATTTCTGATGGTTATTTAACAAATGATGTTAAAAAAATGATTTTCCAAATTAAATTTTATCCCCTTCTCAAGAGAAAATCGGGAACTCTGGCTTTACTAAGTTCAAAATTTGTATGAAGCACCTTAAGGTTTAGGTGGAAAACAAACACTCACTCACATCATTTGTAACATTAGACAACAGCTAGATGAACAACAAGTACTCATTCACACCAGTTATAACATTGTTCTACAGTGTTGTTGACAACAATAATGTGGGTAAGTTGTGTAGGTGAGTTGTATGAATCAGTTAAGTTGGTCCATTGTGTGGGTCGGGAATGTGGGTCAACTCTGCAGGTCAGTTGTATAGGTTAGTTGTTTGGGTCAGTTGTTTGGGTCAGATGTGTGAGTCACTTGTCTGGGATAATTGTGTGGTGCAATTGTGTGAGTCAGATGTGTGGGTCAATTTTGATGACAGTTGTATTGGCTAAATTAAGAAAAGGCAACTTTTGTGAGGCAGCTGTGCGAATCAATTATTTGAGTCAGTTGTGCAGGTCTGGTGTGTTGATAAGTTATGTTAGTCAGTTGCTTGGTAACATGATACCTTACCTTCTGATACAATGTGTAAAACAGGTCCAATTCTCTGGCCTGAAATTCACGGTCAACAGTGTGGTAGCAGGAGTTTTTCCAGTCAGCCATGACACCCCAACTCTGGAACGCTTTACTCTGCACTTGTATAGATTCTTCAGCAAATTTTTTGGCTGCAATTTCAAAAAAAATAATCCATCATATGTATGAAAATTATTCAGCTTTTCTATATGAATTGGCACCATATTCCTGAAATATCAAGCCATTGCAAATTAAGTATATCCAGTTAAGGTATACAGATTGGTCTATTATTCCTGATGCCTCTGAAATATCCAGCCAGGGGAGAGTGTTTGACCCAATATTCCTGATGCCTCTGAAATATCCAGCCAGGGGAGAGTGTTTGACCCAATATTTCTGATGTCTCTGAAATATCCAGCCAGGGTGTAGTATTTGACCCAATATTTCTGATGTCTCTGAAATATCCAGCCAAGGGGGAGTGTTTGACCCAATATTTCTGATATCTATGCTTTACTGATAAACATTGGATTATCTGACATGATGTAGACTTCCTACCATATTTGACAAGATTGCTATTTCAATAAGACACTACAAAAGTTCCCTACCTTTTCTTCGAATTTCCAATGGAGTCATTTTCTGCGGAGTGCCATCTTTGGTTTTTATTGCCTTAAGTTCTATAGGTAGTCCATGACAATCCCAGCCAGGTATATAATGTATTTTATACCCTTTCAGCAGCTTGTATCTGTTAGTGATGTCCTTCAGAATCTACAGCACATCAAGAGGGCAATGACCCTTAATGGTCATCTGACAATCGACAAATGGATAGACAAATCACAGAATTCACTGATGGTGGTCTGAAAAATCTGGTGAATTCAATTTTTGAACATTCCTTGAAAGTATCAGAAAATCATAAATGTAGGCTCTGTGCATGAAAAACAGCTGCACCATCATGTTACAAAATAACTACTGTGGTTAGCATGTTGAAGTTTTGATCACCCTGAAAAGTAGCAACAAAACATTTCTTTCATTTCTTTAAAAAAATCAAACTCCAAGTATTTTTCTCCTTGGTGTGAATGAATCATGAGAAGTCGTCCAGACTATTTGTTCTAGATGAGTTATGTTGGAATTTTGGACCGGAACATAAAAAAATTTGGTCAGCATGATCTTTGGATCGCTTCATGCATTTTTGATATCATTACCACTCCCTGATGATGCTTCACGCCAAATCTGGTTTAAATCTACCAAGGAATTAAGAAGGAGTAATGGTTTAAAGCAAAATATTCACCTTTTGGAACCCCACCTAAGTCCCTAGGGGTTGAATCAACATTCTTAATCTAAGAAATAATTCTCCACCCACAATGATGTTTTCCATTTGGGGACCTACACGCCCCCAAGTCCCTACAGATCAAATTAGCCTTCTGAATTTCAGAAATGATTATCTTCACTCAATGATGCATCAGACCAAATTTGTTGAAATCCATCTTGGTTTGAGAGAAGATAAGGGTTTTAAATAAACAATGCTTAAAGCATGGCACACGATGATGGACGAAGCACAATGACAATAGGTCATCTGACCCAGAGGGTCAAGATTAAAATACAAAAGTTCCAAAGCAGTTTACCTCCTCAAACAGACAGCAGTATTATCTCACTGAAAATATCAACAGCAGTATTATCTCCACTTAACTAACCAAGAGCAGTATTATCTCCCCTTAACTTACCAAGAGCAGTATTATCTCCCCTTAACTTACCAAGAGCAGTATTATCTCCCCTTAACTTACCAACAGCAGTATTATCTCCCCTTAACTTACAAACAGCAGTATTATCTCACCTTAACTTACAAACAGCAGTATTAGCTTCCCTTCACATTTAGACAGCAGTATTTCCTCCCCTTAACATACAGACAGCAGTATTACCTCCCCTTAACATACAGACAGCAGTATTACCTCCCCTTAACAAACAGACAGCAGTATTACTTCCCCTTAACATACAGACAGCAGCATTCTTCCCTTCATATACAGATTGTTGCATTCTTTCCTCTTAACAATCAGACAGTAGTTCCGGTTATACTAACTTTATTCAAAGCATGTCCAACATGTGGTTTTCCATTTGCATAAGGAGGACCATCATGTAAAACAAATTCCTTCTCCCTTTCCTGGGATCGTTGCCATTCATAGAGTTTACTAAATCCACAAACCTTCAACATAAAAATCAAGAACATCATGTATGGCCAACAGTCATCCAAAACAATGTCATAGTGACAACCATCCAAACGTGTTGTCCTGCAATTGCCCATGGGACAAGGACCTGACATGCCTCTTTTACACAAATATTGTCTGCAATGACCAATAACTACTTTGATCAAAATTATCAAATCATGTTCTTTAGATTTTCATTATTAATCAAAAGGTTCCTGCCATTAAATTTTGCACACTTTATTTTGTAAAACTTAATATGCACATGCGTTCAAGTCCTGACAATAATAGCTACAATTTATAAGAACAGAAAGTGAAAGTAGACATTTAGTGACAACGATAATAATTGAAACATCACATTTCATTCTTATCCTTAAATAACATATCGTTGAGCTATTGTGACTTAAAACTAAACTGATAAGTAACCTCTTGGATTTGTTGCTCTCGCTGTATTGCCTTCCCACTTTTAGAGGTTGCGACAAGATCACTTTTTGGGAGATTGAGCGTCTCCGAATATCTTTTACTACTTGATTTACTCTTAAATCGAACGAAACTAGTATTTGGAAATCTTATCCCACGTAGTCTCAACGAACTAAACATCATGATACACTTTCTGTAGCGAATGCATTGGATATCAAGCTATCGACACATGATCATCTCTCCATAGAGCTAAAACACGGTATCGAGATGGGCGCAGCCATTTTGATTTAATATCCCGCATATAATATTAAAACTGTTTCGTGAAAAAGTATGCATATATACAAATAAATCACATAGCATGAAATCCTACTTTTAGCATTAAAGCATTTTTTTACCATTTTGATAAATAGATATTTCGTTGTGATATTTAGTAACGGGAAATAATTAATGTAGGGTCAAGGTCAACGTTGTCGATCATGTGATTATGTTTTGGCTGAAAGGCAGAAAGCTGTCAGACGGATGTCAGACAAACTGTCGGTACACAGATACTTCCATCATGCAGATACAAATGAACTGAATGCGATCAGTGATCGCTATGACAAGACAGGAAAAATTCCCTTTAATATTTCCAGATGCCCTGTTTCAAACTATCGAAAATGGAATCGCAAAAAGAATCACAAATCATGATTCTGTTAAATCAGGAAGGACTGCCCGAGCTGCAGATTCATTGGCCGTTGATCTTGATGCATTTCCTACATTGGAACCAGCCCTAACACCTGTCACAGAGCTATGGTTGACCATTCTCTATGTCTCATTATATGGCCTGCTGTTTTTCATGGTGTACTTTCAGTTATGGATGATTTGGTACTATCGACATAAGAGACTTAGCTACCAAACCGTGTTTCTGTTCCTCTGTCTGATATGGACGGGACTGAGGACAACCCTTTTCTCATTTTACTTCAGTGATTGTATCTTAGTCAACAACCTACCGCTGCCCTTTACATGGTTGTTGTATTGTTTTCCGGTTTGCTTACAGTTCACAACATTGTGTCTACTGGTTTTATTTTTTGCACAGGTAATTATAACATTACAATGTAAATATATATATATGTAAGTGGAGGTTTTATATTATGTAACCTTGAGCACCTATGGTCATGTAAGGACAGCATCCCTTTTATTACAGTGCAATGTGAGTGCATGTATTGAATGTATGCGTTGGATACTGCTTCTTGTCTGTCAGCCTCCATATCATTGTGACAGTGCTACCACACAGATGTAGGACAGGTCATTTGGTTACAGGGTTTCTCTCCTTGACTTGTCATGTTTTTAGGTGTTGTCTCACCAACAAACATCTGTATTCTGGTGATATGAGAGAACCGTCTGCATCTCCATCACGGGGTGAATATGTGTGTCAGGATGTTTGAAATAATGTGTAGCTTTAGAAGGTGGCTCCTGAATCATCATAGATGATGTTCTTCTCATCGTACCAGTTCAATTCTAGCCTATCTGGTTAGATTGAATATTACACAACTTTAATTTGACATTCATCAAATGCCCTAATAAAAGATGGGATTTATTTTATACACCTTATATTCTCTAAACCTCTGTATCATGTCTACTGGTCACTTTATAATGACAAAGGACAAATGAGCACAATGCTGAGCGTTAAGTGGGGAAGCTGAATGATATATATATGGTTACAAATATAAAATAGTAAAAGATTCCTGATCACTTATAAAAGCCTTGGTCTGGGACGTACATATGTGTTAATATACTTTACCTCTTTTAAACATAAAAAAGTTTACTTTTGATATGGTGTATTATAGTTATATATTGTCTCAAAAAGTACAGTAGCATATTTGTTTATCATCTTAATCTACTTTTCCTAATTGTTGTTACAATATTCTTTCCAGGTTGTGTTTAAAGCCAAAGCAAAGTATGAACCTAGTCAGTATAAGTAAGTACAGAATTGTTATTGCATCAGTAGAGATGTAGTGTAAATTAAAGATAAAAAAGAACATGTCTTTATATGTGAAACCTCATTACTGAATGTTGGATGGCCAGCTGGTGCCACAGACACATGAACAATGGTTGGCATATGCATTTAGTGTTGTCAAGTGGCATAGATAATTAAATTTCTAGAACATGTAATATGGGTGATCGTGTGGCAGGCATAATTAGGATGGTTGAGTGACAAATGTATTCTTTGTGATTTTCAGTTTCTTCTCATATCAAGACCCCTAGCACACACTTCAGTATTTTTATATCATGTTTGTGTGCAAAATGATTTATAATTTTAAACCATAAATTATAAATGTTAAGTATATATGTATATGAAAGATTTGGTTTTGTTAGTCATAAAAGATTTTAACATGTCAGGATATCAGGCATTGATATGTATGTATTTCAAAGTGTATATAAACCATGGTCGATATTATAAATACTTCAAACTTTTCAGAAAACCTTCAGATAACAGAAATATTAGCTTATTTTTCATAAATATTTTAAACATATCAGAAACCTTTATTATACATTGACACATGATAATGTGTTATTTATTTCCTAAACCTTGTCAACATTTCAGAAGACCTTTACGCATTGCCATAGCCTTGGCTATCTTTGTTTTTCTCGTCACCAACTTGACTTCAGCCATTGTTGTGAACCACCAGTCTATAAAATATCACTCTGTTCCTATATCTGTGATCATTGTGCGGGTGTCCATCAATGACAGTTTGTTTGTGATGTCTGCCACTGCCCTTTCTGTGTGTATATACAAGATGAGTCGCATGGCCTCTGCACACGTCGTCCTGGAAGCAAAGGTTTGTAAACAGCTTGAACTGCTTCTATATACTTTTAGGCTAATCTAGAGCCTGAGAGATCTGAGAGTTACTGTTCTTGTCAAAAGTGTGTTTGAAACAAGGACTTTTACATTGATAACTTGATATACTTTAACATAATGTGTATCATTAGACTGAAGTTGACTGTTTTCTGAGTTTTGAAAATATCTTTTTGTTTTCTTCCGGGGATATTTTGGAGATTGTTTCTTTTCAATAGTTTAATGTCTATAAAGATATCTGACTACTCCAGGCTAACTTACTTTATAAATGTTTTGATTAAATAATATTTTTAAGTTATTGTTATATGTAACCTGACCGTCTTCCATCAGAGGTATGTCCCGTGTATAGTTCCCATTCTGATATTGTTTATTGCGTATACTCCCCTCCATTGTCGGAACAGACTGTGTGAAGTTAGTCTGTGTACTTCATGCAGTTTAAGATCTTTTTGGCTTTTTACTCTATACAATTTGTTACAGGGAACAACACTTTGCCAGGCTATGACTACATCCATAGTGATCATCCTGTTGTTTACATCGCGTGCGGTGTACAATGTTATTGCTGTGCTGCCCTATACCAAGGAAAAGATGCCCTCATTCGGTTACAATTGGGTCAATGTTTCCGACCAGGTATGTCTACTTCTGAAGTCACACTTATACACTTCAGTGAGGTAGAACATAAACTTTTTACCTTTGTAAGTAGAATTGTGTAATCAAACTTCCTTTCAACTTAGAAAAATTAAGAAATGGCAGAAGTATCAGTGGTTGGTTCATGTATACTTTTAATTGGCTTTGACATTTGTATGATTAACACTGATTGGATAGTTGAAATTCAACCTATCAGAACATGCCTTTCTCCTCAGGAGAAAGAAAATGACAGAGAATATTCTGTAATGATTGTGTTATAATTTGTCCTCCAGGCGGATATCATTGACCTTGATGGAGGCTATGCTTACATATCTTTCGGAATTGTGCTTTTTGTTTGGGAGTTCCTGCCTACTCTCATCATTGTTGTGTTTTTCCGTGTCAAAAAGCCTCCTACAGATTCAGTAAGTATTTGCAAATTTTAAAAAATTTATGTCAAATTATGTGGGACAAATTAATTAGTTTAATTAGTAACAATGCAAGGCATATCTCAGTAAGCAGCAGCTAAAACACAATTCTCAGTCTAGTGTTTGGATGGATCAGAACTGAATTTTATTTGTTTGGTGTAGTGTCTATACCATTGAGTCTATGGATGTCCTAGGACATACAACTTTAATGTGGGGGCCCTTTTGACATGATAATTTTGATGTGATTTTCACTTTACTAGAGATTTATGTGTACAATATGGTAAATACTTTGTTATGGTTACTGGACATGGCTTGAAGTAATACGGCAACAAATACCAGAACTACAGACAGGTGGTAAGGAGGTTTTATAGTAATCTGTCTGTTCATCCACCTGTGCAAAGCATGTGTACAGGAGACCTCATAAAAAGCTTGTGTACAGGAGACCTCATAAAAAGCTTGTGTACAGGAGACCTCATAAAAAGCTTGTGAACAGGAGACCTCATAAACCCCATGACTTATTATTGTTCACAACATAACATCATTCCATTAAATTCTAGGTCTTGGGTATTGGTGGCCATTGGTCTCTGTTAAAGTTTACAGCTCACCAATGATGCAAAAAAAAAAAAAAAAGGAAATGGAAATAAATATATAGGAAATGATAGATCATGAATCCCTCAACAGATTAAGTTTAAATAAAAGAGTAAGGTGTTTATCTCTGTGAGCCCCTGTCTACTGTTTTTATTTATGTTGTTGATTGGCACAATTTGTTTCAGGCATTAAGTGACCTGGCAGCACAGCACCAGAATAGCAGATCTTACTTCTTCGACAATCCTAGACGTTATGACAGTGATGATGACCTCACACGGAGTGCACACTCCAGGGCCAGGTAAGCCTTTATTTTGTATCACTGACTTTTACATGATACTGTATAACAAGCTTTTTTCTCCAGTGTCTAATTTTCACTATAAGATTGCATGGAAAATATTTAACAAATAGATTTTAATTAAGAACTTATAGCATTATATACTTTTAGTTCCTGCTCTTTGAGACTAAAATCAGGTACCTGGTATTTAAATTTTTGCACCAAATGGTGAAATTTTTTGGAAGCAAAATGTATCTCTATAACATGATATACAATCACACTGCAATCTACAGTTCATATGACACCTGAATATTTGTATGAAATTTTTCTGTGCATGTAGATTATATTTGTTTTTGTTTTTGAAGTAATTATGACATCAGTTATGGACATGCCTCCATCAACAACACCGAGGGCTCCAAGACTACACCAAGGGGAACACCAAGAGGGACGCCATGGGGAACCCCAAGGGGAAACAATTCTAACTATGGTGCCACAAATGCTGGTAGTTTTACAGGGAGAGTGGCAGGATATGGGTCTCCATCAGTTGTAGCCAACCAAGGTGTTCAGAACCCTGGCTATCAGAACCCAGCGGAGTGATGAGAGTTGTCCCTAGATGTCTGGACTAACGTTGTCCTTGCTCTTGAGGACTGGGCATCAATATATCTAGACATTGGAACTGGTCAGTTAAATTTCTTCAAATACCTGGATTGGTCATTTGCTCCTATTCAGACATCTGGATTGGTCAGTTACCTTTCACAGACACCTGGTCAGGTACAAGACTTCTTGTATGTCTCTAACTCAAAACTAACCTCTGGTGTAAGATAGTATTTTACGTTTGTAAGTTGTGTCTGTGAATTTTACCTGAGAGTATGTGTCCTGTGGACTAGTCAGGTTCTTGGGATGTATATTGATGGAAAGACATTATCTGTGGAAAAGTTTTCCTTTTTAACCTAGCTGTATTTATTGATAAATTCATTCATTACAGATTGATTAACAAACAAAACAAAAAAAAACCAGATAGTATTTCATTGTGTTTTTATCTCTCGATAATTTGTAATTGCCAATCTGCCATATCATTTCCATTTGTGTCAAGCTTTGTTTCCTTTTTCTAGAAATGGTGGTGAACTGTGCTAGCCATGTGACACCAGTTCTTAACAGTGTTGTGCTAGTCTAATAATACATAAATATGTGTTACAGTCTACCTTAGTTATAAATAGATACCTTTTCAGTGTGATTAGTCTACCTACATTAAATTAACCCAACTTTACATACTAAAAAAAAAACTGCACATTAGTTTTAGTTCATTTACAACTCTGGTTGGATAAAAACTTTATTCATTTAATTATAGGATGTTAAGTGAAGGAAGTAATAATTTAAAAACAAGAATTATAAATATTTCACTCATATTTTAAGAGTGAAAACATTCCATTTGAACCCTACATTTCCACAGAGGGAGTTTAATTTATTGTTTTTATATTTTGTGTGAATATGTTGGTTTTTATCTACAAAGACACAGCAGTTTAATTTATAACATTCTATAAAAACTACACCTGATTTTCTAAAGGATTTGAATGGTAAATGATACTTTGACACCTAATCAAGTGTATTTCCTTATATGATGTGTAAATGTAGCTTTTGTGGCATGGTTTATTCCTATAGCAAAGAACTTTAAGATCTTTCTTTGATAATCTGATGCTTCATTTGAAAATTGTGAATTGGGGACTTGGATCGATTCACCCTGTACAATGCTTATGTGGAAAAATCTGCATTATGTTAGCAAATGAACTATATAGGAAAAGTGACATTACCAAACCATGGTTTTAATGGAATTTGATGTATTGAATGTAGACATATGTGAACCTGTGATATTTTGACTATTTGTTGGAAGTTTTTTCATTAAATATGTTTTATTATTATTTAATATCGGTAGTATAGTGACGCCAGATGTGTCATTGTAACATGTATAAGGCAGGATTCCTTACACACTGTTTAGCGTTAGGGGGGATGGCATTTCTCTGAAATGAAAAAATAACCAATTGTAGCTGACATGTTTTTCTGGTTGACATGAAGTTGATTTGCTTGTGTACTTTTGCAAAATTTGAAATCTGTAACTCAAAACTGGCATCAGTAAGTTAATATAAAGTACCTGTACAATCTATTCATTAGATAGTACAAAGGATTACAATCACGGGATGAGAATATATTTAAAAGTGAACAAAATAATGTGTCAAATTTGCTATAGTTTACAGTTCATGTTGAGTTTTAAAGTTTCTGATTTTTTGAAACCATGAAGGTGTATTTCCTTAGATAATGTATCTTTAAAAAATTGAATCCTATTTAATGTGTCACAAGTGTTAACACAGATCTGGCAGTAACTCTGAGAATGGTAGAATTGTTTTACATATATATCTATTTGATTCCAGGTATTTAGTCATAAATTGACAACAAATCCAGAACTATATGGTATTGGTGTCTATGTACAATAGAAGTAAATTGCTAAGGGCTTGTTATTCTACAAAATCGTTCTCGCAAATACCTTTTTTTTATGATTATTTACCAAGTTGAATTGTAAAAAGTGTTATTTTTCTGTTTAATACTAAGAATAAGAATTATATGTTTTTCTAAAAACATTCCTCATATGATGACCATATAATGAAGTTTTTCTTGTTTTTTGAAAGACAAATTTGTAATTATATATACTGTCATTGATTTCTATGAATGATGTTCATTGATGGCTGTATCACAGGAGAACATGAAAGACAGACGAGAAAGTCAGTTCTTTACTAGGAAAGAACTTGTTTAAGAATCCAGTTGTAGAAATGTTGTCTGTTGTAAAATGTTGACATGTTTGTGGTATGTCTTTTTTAAGTATATTCTCTATGGGTTCGTAGTTAATTTGTTGATTACTGGTTGTCCGTCTCTTTGACTCTAGGTGTTGTCTCACCAAGGCTTGTAGTCACACCTAATGTCATCTGGATGGGGAATAGCTAGAGATGATTACTGCAGAACTTTGACATAACATTTGTTGGTAGTTGTATTAAAAAGAAATGAATTTGGTTTGTTTTTATCATATTAAAGGTTGATATATGATAGACTAGGAAATACACAGCACAAACATTTCTAAACCCTGTCGCACAGAAACCAAGGCTGTAAAATACACAGCACGAACATTTCTGAACAGTGTCTCTCAGAAACCAAGGCTGTAAAATACTGACACGAACATTTCTGAACCGTGTCTCTCAGAAACCAAGACTGTAAAATACCGACACGAACATTTCTGAACAGTGTCTCTCAGAAAGCAAGGCTATGAAATACACAGGATAAACATTTCTGAACCATGTCACTTTGAAACGTAGGCTGTAATATTCACAACACTTACATTTTTAAATCCTGTTACTCCTAGGCTATAAAATACACAGTTCTAATATTTCTAAACCTTTTCACTCAGAATTATAAAGGAAAAATGGAATAATTTTACCTGTCCAAACTGACTTCATTATTCTGAACAAAATTTTGTTCCAGCATGTAGTATATTTCAGTTAAGAACAAGATCGAAAACCTGGAAATGAAGTTTCAAGGGAAAGTGTGGACAGAAAAGAGGGGAAAGAATTATATTTGCTCCAGAATTAAGTCTTGGAGGCTTCATTGTCATACAATCACTATGTAAATTTAACCACAGTTTTGAAAAATCTTAAAAGCTGAAAATTGACCTTCATCTAATAACACAATGATTGAAAAATTAAATTAAAGTGACATTTCAGTGATATCTATATTGCACTTTCATACATGTTCCCTAGATATAGGTAGTCACCTTAAGGGTGTATGGGTGATTTATGTGTTGTCAATGCTAATGTTCTGCTGGTTCATACTCCGATTTCATCGTTAAAACAAATATATATTTACTCTTACACCACCTTTCTTCAATTTAAGATTCTATTGAATTTGGGCTTCTTTTTAATATAGTGTTTGATATATATCTAAATGGCATACAAGCAATGAACCTACAATGTATATCTGAACCATCATCGTCTTCTATAGAATGTGTATTTCTTTTTTATTATCTGTAATTTGGCAGTAGATGTCTGTGAATATAAAGCTTTGTGTCTTTGATGATACTTGGTATAGACAGAGAGGAACTTAGAGAGGAATTGAGTGAAAACAATTCATTGGTGTCTGTTATTGGTAGTATAGAAGTGCAATAGATGGTATATCAACAGGTACAGTGTTGTAGTGACTAGAGTTATCTGTATTGATTCCTGTCCATGTAAATTCAGATGAGAAGGCTGTTTAACTGACATACTTTAGATGTTTACATTAAGACCTTAAGACAGTTTGACTGACATACTTTAGATGTTTACATTAAGACCTTAAGACAGTTTGACTGACATGCTTTAGATGTTTACATTAAGACCTTAAGACAGTTTGACTGACATGCTTTAGATGTTTACATTAAGACCTTAAGACAGTTTGACTGACATGCTTTAGATGTTTACATTAAGACCTTAAGACAGTTCAACTGACATACTTTAGATGTTTACATTAAGACCTTAAGCCAGTTTAACTGACATGCTTTAGATGTTTACATTAAGACCTTAAGACAGTTTAACTGACATACTTTAGATGTTTACATTCAAAAGTTTTCATATTAACAAGTTATTTCTCTATTAGGTGTGCAATTGTTTTTCTATTCTAGATATTGAACAGATCCATATTTCAGTATTGTCCTTGTTAGTCTTCCACAACGTTACAGCTTTACATCTCTTAATCATCTTGGTCTCTATACATCATCTAGGAGAGTTATCCACTTCCCCCTAGCTTGTGTATTGCAGTTCTGTATATCTGTATCTTTTTGGTGAATGTTTTTAGTTTACCTGCTGTTCATGCATGAGGCATTGCTACTTACACTTTACTTGTCATTTGTAGAAAGAAATCTTTAAAAACATACAGATTTTAGTGTAGGTTATAAGGAATCTTTAAAAACATGCAGATTTTAGTGTAGGTTATAAGGAATCTTTAAAAACATGCAGATTTTAGTGTAGGTTATAAGAAATCTTTAAAAACATGCAGATTTTAGTGTAGGTTATAAGGAATCTAAAAACATGCAGATTTTAGTGTAGGTTATAAGGAATCTAAAAACATGCAGATTTTAGTGTAGGTTATAAGGAATCTTTAAAAACATGCAGATTTTAGTGTAGGTTATAAGGAATCTTTAAAAACATGCAGATTTTAGTGTAGGTTATAAGGAATCTAAAAACATGCAGATTTTAGTGTAGGTTATAAGGAATCTTTAAAAACATGCAGATTTTAGTGTAGGTTATAATGAATCTTTAAAAACATGCAGATTTTAGTGTAGGTTATAAGGAATCTTTAAAAACATGCAGATTTTAGTGTAGGTTATAAGGAATCTTTAAAAACATGCAGATTTTAGTGTAGGTTATAAGGAATCTTTAAAAACATGCAGATTTTAGTGTAGGTTATAAGGAATCTTTAAAAACATGCAGATTTTAGTGTAGGTTATAAGGAATCTAAAAACATGCAGATTTTAGTGTAGGTTATAAGGAATCTTTAAAAACATGCAGATTTTAGTGTAGGTTATAAGGAATCTTTAAAAACATGCAGATTTTAGTGTAGGTTATAAGGAATCTTTAAAAACATGCAGATTTTAGTGTAGGTTATAAGGAATCTTTAAAAACATGCAGATTTTAGTGTAGGTTATAAGGAATCTTTAAAAACATGCAGATTTTAGTGTAGGTTATAAGGAATCTAAAAACATGCAGATTTTAGTGTAGGTTATAAGGAATCTAAAAACATGCAGATTTTAGTGTAGGTTATAAGGAATCTTTAAAAACATGCAGATTTTAGTGTAGGTTATAAGGAATCTAAAAACATGCAGATTTTAGTGTAGGTTATAAGGAATCTTTAAAAACATGCAGATTTTAGTGTAGGTTATAAGGAATCTTTGAAAACATGCAGATTTTAGTGTAGGTTATAAGGAATCTAAAAACATGCAGATTTTAGTGTAGGTTATAAGGAATCTTTGAAAACATGCAGATTTTAGTGTAGGTTATGGAGACTTGTACACCAGAAAGATAATTTTACTTAAAATGTTATCACTAAAAATTTTTAAGAAAATTAAAATGATTTCACTATACAATTTGAATGGTATTTCATTCTTGACGATTTAAGACGTACACAATAAAGACCTTACAGATGTGTTGTTTTGTGTGTCTGCACTATGGATATGCAGTTTTTAGAGGACTGTGAAAACACTGCCAAGAGTGTTGTTGTATGAAAGGTGTTTTGAGAACATTGTTGTTTGGAGGCTGTAAACTACGTAGCTTTTTAAATCCTGGTCATTGTATATATTATCATTCCTTTAAGTCATTGTTGTGATACAAAATAGTAGAGAAGTATCAATGTTCTTTTCTGGTAACTTTTCTTTTTTTCAATGTATTTTTATTAAGTTGAATTTCAAGAATGATTTACCGGTTACAATTTGATATTTTCTTTGTTCCTGATGAATCTGTCCATATGTTTCCCACAAATTTTTTTGTTTTTTTTGTTTAATGACTCTGTAAAGTTGTTTTCATAGTTTTACATTTAAGGTTGTTATTAATATATACAAATACAAGATTCTTGTTACTTGGAAGCACTTTGTAGTTCCTGTAATATGTACAAACTTGTCATATCCTTATACATGTTCAAAAGATTTGTAATACACTGTAAGTCACCTTTATTTTGCATATAATGGTTTAAGTCTCCCTACGAGATTTCTGATTTTAGTTAGAGGAGGCCTACAGTAAGCATAGGTGACAGTGACCTATTTCTTCTGATTATGTAGTAATTATGAAATGTATGTCAAGTTTGATGACTAGGAATTGAAGAAATAGTGAAGCTATGTCACAGGACTTGTTAACTACATTGTATGTAGAAATGAACTAATGATGTGTAGATTGTGTACAATGTGATTCTCCGTAAAAATTGTTGTTAGAAAGTTTGCTTTATGTCTGCTGATGTTAACACTAATTTTAAAATGCATGTACACATTCCATGTCCACGACCAAGTTTTTTCCCATGAAAATGGTCTTATGTTTTACGTTTTTATTCAAAACAGTTTTAAGTCAATATAAATTTTGATTTTGAAAGTTTCTATTTGTGTGTACATATATATATAGATGTTTTTATCAGTGCAGTAAGTGTTCCAGATTACAAGTTATGTGATATCATGTTCCTGTATGTTGTATGAAATTTTTGTCAGTATCAAAATAATAAACATAACAAAACTACACATCAGAGTTATCGATTTTAATGTCAACAGGCAAGTCTATAATACATACGCAAAGCCGTTATTCAACCAGGCTTTAATTAAATGTCAAATGATTGGCCACTCCTAAACAATCATTTTCTCATTACATGTATATGTACTTTTATCTCCCGCGAAACACATTCCTGGGGTATATTAATTTATGCTCTGTCCGTCCATGCGTCCGTTTGTGTGTCCGTCCGTTCATCTCAACTTCACAAAACTTGTTGTTTATATTAAGTTAGTGCTCTAGTATGCCTTTTGCAATTGACAACATTACATTTTTTTGTGTTACCATGGAAACATAGCCAAAAAAAACTGCAAAATTAGTGTTAACTTTCCTTTCCAGGCTGCAACTTCGAAACCATTCATCTAAACTCCACAAAACTTTCTATGTTGGATATTTTTCTGTTACCATGGAAACAGGTAACCCTTATCACGAATTTAAGATTTTCTGGACCAGTGCTCTGAAACCGTTCAAGATAATTGCTCAAAACTTTTTACACTTAATAAGCTAGCAGTATCTTTTGCTATGGGAAAGCTCTCCATTTAAATACATTTCTTTTACCATGGAAACAGGCCAAATAACAAAGGTAAGTTTTTTCATACAAGTTCACTTAAACCGTTCAAAAACACCAAAGAAAAGAACAAAATTAAAGAACAGCAGGTAGTCATCCCTTACAACAAAGGCCCGTCACCTTACAACAAAGGCCCGTCACCTTACATCAAAGGCCCGTCACCTTACAACAAAGGCCCGTCACCTTACAACAAAGGCCCGTCACCTTACATCATAGGCCCGTCACCTTACATCATAGGTATGTCACCTTACAACAAAGGCCTGTCACCTTACATCAAAGGCCTGTCACCTTACATCAAAGGCCTGTCACCTTACATCAGAGGCCTGTCACCTTACATCAAAGGCCTGTCACCTTACAACAAAGGCCTGTCACCTTACATCAAAGGCCTGTCACCTTACATCAGAGGCCTGTCACCTTACATCAAAGGCCTGTCACCTTACATCAGAGGCCTGTCACCTTACATCAAAGGCCTGTCACCTTACATCAATGTCCTGTCAGAAACCATTCAGAGGATTTACCGTGGTCAATGGCATTGCAGCAGCCATGAAACCTCATAAGATCCTCCGAAATATCATATTCCTTCCTATGGATAAAACACCGAAAGAGAACGTCGCAGATACGAAAATAAAACCGCATGCTTGAATTGCGACGTACCGTATATCGGAGAAACAGGCAGGAGAATCGGGGTCCGACTAAATGAACATCAGAAGGACGCGGAATCCCAAGAAGGAAAAAAATCACTAGATCAACATGGAGACATTCTCAGTCCCAGATCAATAAACTGGCACTTAAAATCATTCGAAGCAGCAAAATCTTTTCATTGCCTCTTCCGGAACACCTGGTCTTTCTCTTGTACTGTTTCAGAAGTCTCCGTGTAAAATTTTCTTTTGTTCATATTTTGTCCTGGCGTCTTTGAGTTAGTTTTTGGATTGTGATGCTTCAGACGTTATTTTTTATGATACGGTTGATGCTCGTTAGTATACCTGGTGGTTCTTATTGTGTGACATGAAGTTAGATATGGTCGATGCTCGTTAGTATACCTGGTGGTTCTTACTGTGTAACATGAAGTTAGATATGGTTGATGCTCGTTAGTATACCTGCTGGTTCTTACTGTGTAACATGTAGTTAGATACGGTTGATGCTCGTTAGTATACCTGCTGGTTCTTACTGTGTAACATGTAGTTAGATACGGTTGATGCTCGTTAGTATACCTGCTGGTTCTTACTGTGTAACATGTAGTTAGATACGGTTGATGCTCGTTAGTATACCTGCTGGTTTCCCTTTCATATGCAATTACATTGGATTTACATTAATTAACACAAAGGTTGTCGTTAATGAAGCTGCAGCAGTACCTTTTAGAACATCAGGACTTTATCTTTTATTTATTTATAGATTTGCCTCGTTTTATCGACTGAGAGTTTGAATTACGATGATGTTCACATATTAGCCAGTGCAAATATACATATCGGTTTTCCGTCATCGAGGATCGTTTTACATCACGTGTTTGTGGTAGCTTTTATTCGTCATGACGTTTGATAGTCCTGTTTTAATGACGGGGTTTATTGATCTTCCTAATTACATTGCAGTTATATAACTTCGAAGTGTCTCCAATCAAATGTAGTCGATTTCACTCTTGCCTTGGTCGAGTTTTCACGAAATTGTTCTAATATAGCTTGCAATCATGATTTGTTTTCTACCCCATTCGTCCCTCTTTTATAAGAAAGTTCACTTAACAAAAGAATAGATGCCTTAATTGAGTAGGAAATGTAGTGCGGTTGTGTCGAATTGAAGCAGGGGAATATTTCAAGATTGATCAATTTTTTTCTTCGAAGTCGACATTTCATCAACTCTGCCTTCGAAGGTTGTACAAAAGACACCTTTCATTACAAATTTGGTACATCGATGTATGAATGAAACGCGAGCAAACGGTTTTACAATACGGCTCGAATGTTGAGTTGACAGTAGCAATAACTGCAGTAAGCACGCCTAGTCTCGCAAGCAAGTAATATAATGGGGATTTAGTCTTCGTACAAGGATAAAGGTACTTCATGTGCTATCTACAGAATCGACCACAGGACTTAAGTCCTGGGCTTGATGTCGAAACGTATTTTTGACTGAAAAAATAATGCTTGAACTGTATATCGCATTAAAAAGAGTTTTTTAATGTTTTACATATTCTGTTGTGTAGTCCTTCATGGAATCCGTACTTATTGTGGAAGTAGTAGTTCTTGATTTTGGAACATTTATGTTAAGCAGATGTGACTTCGCATCTGTAATAATGACAAAAAAGTTTGTTATTAACGTTCCAGGCATGACCATAGTTGTGTATTAAGAATGAGTAATGAAAATCACCCTGCAACCCGTAGGGTTTGAACTTGTGACCCTCTGTCTCTAGCCGGACACTCTACCGCTCGACTTCAGAGATTTTTTCACTAGCCGAAGCTAATGAATTTTGCTCACCGTCACGAAATTCACCCACTATACAAGATAACAATATGTTACTTTAAGTGTACAAATAAATCAATAGATGCTTCATCAGATAAAATATATATTTAATTCAACACAAAGGATTTTGTATTTGTCTTGAAAAATAAAAGATAGGTTGAATAAGGAAGTGTTGATGGTTATTGAAACTATTCCTCTTCAAAAACAACCAAAATTTCCAGTATCTATAGGTCGTTTTCGTTCCTCTACTTGTTGTTATTCCAATGTCTCCGTGTTTCTTAAACACAAGCCTGCCTTCTCTCATAGTTTGAATTGAAGCAACAGAAAAAAGTAGGTCATAATTATACCTCCCAGCTGAAACAGAAAATATTTTCATAATAAACAGGACAGATTTTACGGTGAATAATCATCATAATCCTTATCATCATCAATGTTGTTGCTTTGTTTGTAATTTTATAGTGCAAAATTGGTGCTTGTCGCTCCCTGACGTTCGTCAGTGCACATGCTGTTGTATTCTGGGTAATAAAGGCACACATGTTGTAACCGCCATAATGTTGAGATGAAGTACAACATCATCATCATAATCAACATCATCACAGTAAAATGCTGTATAGTTGAGGAGAGAAAAAGTCGTAGCATCAAACAAAACAAACATATTTCAAAATCAATCTAAAAATCCACAGGAAATATGTTAGTAACGCATATATGTTACGTAAACCTACACATTTTTCGAACGGGTTTCTCTGGGATTGCTTTTCTCCCACCAATCACAGCCGTGCCTCCCGTTTTAGCCGGGAAAGATCAGCTTGTCACCCCCTAGGGGGAGATAGCCTCGTGCCGACTAGCACGTGCTAAACCGGAAGTTCGACCGGAACTACTTCTGGTTGTAAACAAACATCGACTGCTAGCTATTGGTATCCTGAAGTAAATCCGAACTTAGCATAACGGAATTGGTAAGAATCAATTTTCGTTCGACGACAGTTACTAGTAACGACTGTTTATATATGAATAGGGTATATATCGCATATGTTGATCCATTTCATTGATATGTAATATATAAAATACTATATTGTAAAATATTATTTAATGAATATGATTGAGATTTTTACGATTTATATTATGTTGCGTAATGATTTACACGAAACGGTGACGTCATGAAACGTGAATAGTGATATCCATGCGCCATTCAGACACTTGAGCCTCGGGTTAGACAAAAAAAAGCACCCCACGGATTCGAGATTTCTCTGTCACACCATCAGGGCAGGGGAAGGTTCTATTTGTAATCAAATTCATTGACAGTAATATAAAATGAGTGTTAAACCCAGCACAAATGGTGGTCTCACCGTTAAGATGAACTCCTTAGTGATGGTGACAAACCCTAACACTGTAAAACCAAGTGGAGGCCCATTGAGTTTGGACAGGAACATCTGCAACTGCAAGCAAAATATATTAAAATTAACGCAAATAAAATCAGAACTGATGACAGAAATACGACCTTTATACAAAGCTTTGTTTATATCATCAAATACAAAAAGAGGACAAAACATGTTCATATCCTTTCATTGAAACTCACACGCTTGATATCTTCACACACAGTGTAACAATGCTCTCATATTCGACGTCTGAATCTTGAGATGTGATTCAGTTTATAGAATACATCGTTAGTCTGTGGTTTCAATAAAATAGTGATGATGATCCAAGATACTCTATGAATTGTTAAAAAAAACAGTATTTGCCTAACCTCTTTATTTATTAACTATTTATTTCTTATTTATCTAATTTAACGGGTTTTATTACGGATTATCGGTCACAAAACGAACCAGAATAGATGGGAAACGTATATAGTATGAAGCAAAAAGAGAGAGTATGGGATACAGAGACGAAGTAGAGACCAACACAATAATTTTGAAGACAACTACTTGGTCTAATTTTAGTCCTGTCCCAGCTCTGAATAGGCATGTTGCATGCATCTCGTTAGTGATAACAGGGACTTTTTAAATGAACAGTTTGTGAGGAGTTGGGAAAATAGCAATTGGACGAAATCAATATTAAAATTTAAACGGGATTAGTTTATAATCAGATATCTGTAGAAATCTGATCTACAAAAATGTGTAAAACCTGGAGTCGCTTTATCAATCAGGCATGGTTTGGGTCGCTGATAAATATCTTTAACCCGGAATCGCTTTATCAATCAGGCATGGTTTGGGTCGCTGATAAATATCTTTAACCCGGAATCGCTTTATCAATCAGGCATGGTTTGGGTCGCTGATAAATATCTTTAACCTGGAGTCGCTTTATCAATCAGGCATGGTTTGGGTCGCTGATAAATATCTTTAACCTCGAGTCGCTTTATCAATCGGGCATGGTTTGGGTCGCTGATAAATATCTTTTAACTGGAGTCGCTTTATCAATCAGGCATGGTTTGGGTCACTGATTAATATCTTTAACATGGAGTCGCTTTATCAATCAGGCATGGTTTGGGTCACTGATTAATATCTTTAACCTGGAGTCGCTTTATCAATCAGGCATGGTTTGGGTCGCTGATTAATATCTTTAACATGGAGTCGCTTTATCAATCAGGCATGGTTTGGGTCGCTGATAAAATTTCTTTTAACTGGAGTCGCTTTATCAATCAGGCATGGTTTGGGTTGCTGATAAAATTTCTTTTAACTGGAGTCGCTTTATCAATCAGGCATGGATTAATATCTTTAACCTGGGTCAGCATGGTTTTATCAATCAGTGGCTGATTAATATCTTTAACCTGGAGTCGCTTTATCAATCAGGCATGGTTTGGGTCACTGATTAATATCTTTAACATGGAGTCGCTTTATCAATCAGGCATGGTTTGGGTCGCTGATAAAATTTCTTTTAACTGGAGTCGCTTTATCAATCAGGCATGGTTTGGGTTGCTGATAAAATTTCTTTTAACTGGAGTCGCTTTATCAATCAGGCATGGTTTGGGTCGCTGATTAATATCTTTAACCTGGAGTCGCTTTATCAATCAGGCATGGTTTGGGTCGCTGATTAATATCTTTAACCTGTAGTCGCTTTATCAATCAGGCATGGTTTGGGTCGCTGATTAATATCTTTAACCTGGAGTCGCTTTATCAATCAGGCATGGTTTGGGTCGCTGATTAATATCTTTAACATGGAGTCGCTTTATCAATCAGGCACGGTTTGGGTCGCTGATAAATATCTTTAACCCGGAGTCGCTTTATCAATCAGGCATGGTTTGGGTCGCTGATGAATATCTTTAACCCGGAATCGCTTTATCAATCAGGCATGGTTTGGGTCGCTGATTAATATCTTTAACCCGGAGTCGCTTTATCAATCAGGCATGGTTTGGGTCGCTGATAAAATTTCTTTTAACTGGAGTCGCTTTATCAATCAGGCATGGTTTGGGTCGCTGATTAATATCTTTAACCTGGAGTCGCTTTATCAATCGGGCATGGTTTGGGTCGCTGATTAATATCTTTAACATGGAGTCGCTTTATCAATCAGGCATGGTTTGGGTGGCTGATTAATATCTTTAACCTGGAGTCGCTTTATCAATCAGGCATGGTTTGGGTCGCTGATAAATATCTTTATCCCGGAGTCGCTTTATCAATCAGGCATGGTTTGGGTTGCTGATAAAATTTCTTTTAACTGGAGTCGCTTTATCAATCAGGCATGGTTTGGGTTGCTTATTAATATCATTAACCTGGAGTCGCTTTATCAATCAGGCATGGTTTGGGTTGCTTATTAATATCATTAACCTGGAGTCGCTTTATCAATCAGGCTTGGTTTGGGTTGCTTATCAATGTCATTAACTCTAATATTATAGTGTAAATCACTTAAATAATTATATCAACTACAACATCACGTGACCTACCTCAAGCGATTCAAAAGGACTGGCTTGACTCATGTCCACATCATAGAGATACTCCAAATGAGAATGGGCCTTCAAAACAGCATGATTATACCATGGTAAAAGATCAAAACAAAATCCAGTTCATCCATAATAAATACAAAAACTCTAACAAAATTGTTGTGTACGATTCCAAAAATATTCATTGTTGTCCAATAGAAACAGTATTTCTAAAATGTATAAGTATACTAGGTGTCACTAGCTAATTTATCAATTTACTTCCACTAAAATTCCTCCGTGAAAAGACGCCAGTGGAGTTTAACCTACATAAAAACAAAAGAACCCCTTACAACCCCTCAAGCAGTAAACGCTTACCCTTCGGATCACCAAGTCTTAATTCATTAACCTGGCGATTGTGACTGAAAATCATCCGTGTTGTCATTACCGATAAAGTGTGAAGAATATCTTACTTACCTTTTCATTGACCTTAGCTGCTGTGTGTGATATGGTCAGTATAACGGTTACATTCATCAGCACCCAGGACGAGAAGCTCACGTATGAATATATCGGCCAAGAACCCGCCGTCACCATCTGGTACACGATGAAACAAATGAGGAATACATTAGTGACATAGGTTCCTGTTAATAAATAGCTGGTGTCTTGTTCCAGGATGGCGACGGTTTTACACAACTGGAGGTGTTTCCGTCGGAGATCCTTTATATTTTGTGAAATTCTCTTGTCGTTGTCCTCCATTATTCTGATTAGGTTAGTGTTTAATGTCGAAAAGCTATTGCCAAGGAACGTGAAGAGAGTGGACTGTAACAATATTGGGAATAACCAAGCACCGGTTTCCCAAAGATGAAGACCGGAGAAAAAAAGCAGAGCAGCTATATTTCTCTGTGGGAACGGGTTGGTGATACCAGCCGCGAAGTCTTTGTTAAAATCAGTAACTGACTGAAATATGATACCGGCAAAACTGATGACAGCACCAAACCATGTCACAGAAGTGCGGAAGAAGATCATTCTCTTCATTTCACTTGATCTGGACTCCAAGGAATCACTATAGATAGAAGTTTCGGTAATAATTCTATCAAAATTCTGGTAAAAGCTTTGAAGATGGTCACGTGATAAACACGCTCTAAGCATGAAAATCCGGTTAAGAAAACATTGTAATAACCAACTTAGATTGATGATCCTCCACACTGTGATATCCGGAACATAGTCGATCCCTACCCAAAATGCCGGGATGTACCGCAAGATGTTCAGACAGGAAATCGCCGTGAAACATACACAATAATATTTGCTAAAATTTGACCGCCATTTCTTAGAAATGGATGCTCTTTCTTCTCTATTCGTGCTTGTATCAAAGAAGAAAACTCCAAATATCTGCATTGAGACATGTATTGGTTTGATAATACGACTTATTAGAGAATACTCCAAGTTAGGTCTCGTGTCTCTGATCGAAACCACTTTGTTTCCTAAGCGGATACTCTTTGTTGAGTGCATACCAATTATTCCTACCACAACTTATCTAGCTTTCCAGAACCACTGCTATAGTATCCACCACCAGTAGGATTGTCCTACGGTACGGTCTATCTAGCCACCGCTACTTTATCCACCAACAGTAGGATTGTCCTACGGTACGGTCTATCTAGCCACCGCTACTCTATCCACCACCAGTAGGATTGTCCTACGGTACGGTTTATCTAGCCACCGCTACTTTATCCACCACCAGTAGGATTGTCCTACGGTACGGTTTATCTAGCCACCGCTACTCTATCCACCACCAGTAGGATTGTCCTACGGTACGGTTTATCTAGCCACCGCTACTCTATCCACCACCAGTAGGATTGTCCTACGGTACGGTTTATCTAGCCACCGCTACTTTATCCACCACCAGTAGGATTGTCCTACGGTACGGTTTATCTGGTCACCACTAATCCGGCTGTCCCACAATACGGTTTATCTAGTCACCACTGATCCGGCTGTCCTACAGTACGGTTTATCTAGTCACCACTAATCCGGCTGTCCCACAGTACGGTTTATCTAGTCACCACTAATCCGGCTGTCCCACAGTACGGTTTATCTAGTCACCACTAATCCGGCTGTCCTACAGTACGGTTTATCTAATCACCACTAATCCGGCAGTACAACTAATATGGCCTTCCTGACCCGTAGCCATTAACGCTTTCTCCACATTCATTCATTTTTTTTGATAAGGCCGCTGACGATTGGATCCTCAAGGCTCCTAACATATCATAAATTAATAGTCCATTGTTGTGACGTCGTTTTTTAAATATTGAATATGACGCATTTCACATCAATAACAGTGCCTGTGTAAATACATATCCTGTCGATAGTCCGTCAATCACAATTGTTTCCCATTGATAATGTTTTTAGTCGATCAGCATTTTTTATAAATAGACGTAACTATTGTTGAATGCCACTTTACTTAATGTCGTTTCTTTGTCTCGTAGTTACGGATCCATTAGAGCTATCTGACTTCACCGTGCCAAAGTTACTGATAAGTCACGATAGTCGGAACCATCTAATGTGTTTACATGTAATTCTCTAGAGCAGAGATATTTCTCATTTATATCCCATCGTTAATATAGGTTATCATATTGGGAATGATGATGAGCTTTTATGAGGCTTAAACCACTGATGTATTACCATTCTACAGTTGACATACGACTCTGTTAAGTAATTTGTTTTATAATTGTAATGTTTACTCGTAGATAAGACAGAAAACAAACGGGTATCGATGACTAATATCCATATTCTTGTTAATACAGACCCAGACAGCATTAATTTCCCAGGTGTATGTAGCCTACATTAAGTAAATGTTAAATCACGTTACCAACGCCTCCGCTAGGTGATTGAAATGTGATGTAACCATTTAAGCGTGATGGTAAACAGTGATAAAGTATCAAATACACAGAAATATAGTTATTAACAATATTGAACCGATATTAAACAAAATTTAACGGGATGGTTGTAACTTCAGATCAAAGACGGCGTAATGTAATGGATAACATATATTAACAGATGAACATGACGTCACCAATAGGACCTCCACAATTTGATTCGACGTTGCGGACGTTTCTCCAACAGAACAACATTTCTCGCACCTCAGACAGTGATATCCCACGTCATACCCCGTCCTAGATTTTTTCTATCTCGCCCGATCTGTATCCTTACGTGCTCTTTCGCTGTTGTTGTCGGCGTCGAAGTTATTGTTGTTGCTGTTGTTGTCGGCGTCGACGTTGTTGTTGTTGTTGCTGTTGTTGTCGTCGGAGACGTTGTTGTTGTTGTTGTCGTCGGAGACGTTGTTGTTGCCGTTCTCCTGATGTATTGTGTATAGTTATTGTCCTTGTTGTAACGTCCATCTGCTGTCTCTGCTGTTTAAAAGTCTTCAAATAAAAGACCACAACCACATAATGAAATAACGTTTATTATTGTATATCCATATACCTAGGAGATAACAGACTTACACCATGGGGTGTGTTGTTAGGCTGTCAATGTTAAACCTTGTCACAAACAAGTATTACTTTTTACACATACACATATACCTAGGAGATAACACCATGGGATGTGTTGTTAGGCTGTCAATGTTAAACCTTATCACAAACAAGTATCACTTTTTACACATATAACTAGGAGATAACAGACTTACACCATGGGATATGTTGTTAGGCTGTCAATGTTAAACCTTGTCACAAACAAGTATCACTTTTTACACATACACATATACCTAGGCGATAACACCATAGGATGTGTTGTTCAGCTTTCTTCACTTTTTACACATACACATATACCTAGGAGATAACACCATGGGATGTGTTGTTAGCTTTCTACACATACACGTATACATAGGAGATAACACCATGGAATGTGTTGTTCAGCTTTCTACACTTTTTACACATACACATGTACTTGATGTTGCTTTGAAATCGTCTACGAATGAAAACCACCAAAATATCAAATTAACGGGTCACTGCATCTCCGTTTGGTTTCTAAAAAATCTATTTCGATCGATTTTAATTTCCCAATTCATCTTATACGTTTGAACGCTTAGGCCAATATCATCACAAACAAGTCTCCATACAGATTTGAATATTTCAAAATATGAACTGATGTTTAATGTAATATTCACCTGTGTCTTCTTCCTTTACACGATAAAGACTATAGTCACGTGAAGGAGTACCATTGCGACAAAGGAAACATTGTTGTGCACCACGATGTTGGTGCTGTACGTCTCTATAACATGCTTAGATGTTAAACTGGAGCAACAAAAAGAAATAAGTCAGAACAAGTCCCGCCAGCTGTAAAAAAAGGAAAGTTAGGATTAGGACAAGTACAACTCAGACAAAAGGTAACACGGGATTAGGACAAGTACAACTCAGACAAAAGGTAACACGGGATTAGGACAAGTACAACTCAGACAAAGGGTAACACGGGATTAGGACAAGTACAACTCAGACAAAGGGTAACACGGGATTAGGACAAGTACAACTCAGACAAAGGGTAACACGGGATTAGGACAAGTACAACTCAGACAAAGGGTAACACGGGATTAGGACAGGTACAACTACAACAAAAGGTAACACGGGATTAGGACAAGTACAACTCAGACAAAAGGTAACACGGGATTAGGACAGGTACAACTCAGACAAAATGTAACACGGGATTAGGACAGGTACAACTGCAACAAAGGGTAACACGGGATTAGGAAAGGTACAACTCAGACAAAAGGTAACACGGGATTAGGACAGGTACAACTCAGACAAAAGGTAACACGGGATTTGGACACTTACAGGAACCATTACAACACAAGAAACATGTTCCCATAGCAAGCACGTGGTATGTGTATAAGCACCCCTACATTGGCGGGGTACTTTATAGCACTGACTTCAGAATGTCATCAGCCTGACGTCAGAAGAGTTTTTTTATAACCCATTTTATAGATTATCAAATCATAAATGAAGTGAGAAATGGTACTGAAAATATAACATAAAACTCACTGTCAGAATGAGCTCTTTTGTTATGGTAACCATCCCCATCACTGTAAACCCTATAGCAGGTCCGTTCAGTTTCGCTAGGAACAGCTGCAACTAGAACAGAAATTATATTTTTAGAAATTGAAATAGAACAAATAATTTTAAACACAATATTAGATAAAATTAACATGATAGGTATCAATAAGCTTATATCTATTGAAATATACAGATAAGCTTTAAGGTTGCGTGACAACAAATGAGAATACATATTGTATGTAATACATGTAGCGTTGGACGATACCAACTAATAAATCTCTTCATCAAAATAAAAAAAGTCTTAAAATCCAATCCTTATGATAATGATTTTTTGTACATTTGAAATCATTGTAACATATAGGTCTGTGTGATGTGTGTGTAACAACGGGTAACATGTACGTCTGTGTGATGTACGTGTAACAACGCATAACATATAGGTCTGTGTGATGTGTGTGTAACAACGGGTAACATATAGGTCTGTGTGATGTGTGTGTAACAACGGGTAACATATAGGCCTGTGTGATGTGTGTGTAACAACGGTTAACATATAGGTCTGTGTGATGTGTGTGTAACAACGGGTAACATATAGGTCTGTGTGATGTGTGTGTAACAACGGGTAACATGTACGTCTGTGTGATGTGTGTGTAACAACGCATAACATATAGGTCTGTGTGATGTATGTGTAACAACGGGTAACATATAGGTCTGTGTGATGTGTGTGTAACAACGGGTAACAAATAGGTCTGTGTGATGTGCGTGTAACAACGGGTAACATATTGGTCTGTGTAATTTGTGTGTAACAACGGGTAACAAGTACGTCCGTGTTCTATAATGCGATACTAAGTTATGCCTTACCTGGTGATGAAGCGATACTAAGCTATGTCTTACCTGGTGATGAAGCGATACTAAGCTATGTCTTACCTGGTGATGAAGCGATACTAAGCTGTCTTATCTGGTGATGAAGCGATACTAAGTTATGTCTTACCTGGTGATGAAGCGATACTAAGCTATGTCTTACCTGGTGATGAAGCGATACTAAGCTATGTCTTACCTGGTGATGAAGCGATACTAAGTTATGTCTTACCTGGTGATGAAGCGATACTAAGTTATGCCTTACCTGGTGATGAAGCGATACTAAACTATGCCTTACCTGGTGATGAAGCGATACTAAGCTGTCTTACCTGGCGATGAAGTGATACTTAGCTATGTCTTACCTGGTGATGAAGCGATACTAAGCTGTCTTACCTGGTGATGAAGTGATACTTAGCTATGTCTTACCTGGTGATGAAGCGATACTAAGCTATGCCTTACCTGTAATGCCTCACTACGAGATACCTGGTCCATCTCCACATCAAATATATACTCTAGTGGGGAGTGTGCCTGAAATTAACAAACGTATAGGTATTTCTACAATAAAGGTTTACATCTGGAAATCTTAAAAATCATACGGTTGATATCTTGATAAATGGTTTGGTAATTTTTCCATTTCGCAAAGAAGCGAATATCAAATCAGCTGGTTTTTCATCGATATGGTTTCGTTTTAATAACGAGTTTACTCTTATTTGGTATTCAAAAACAAATTTTAAAAAGGGACAAATTCTAAATTGTTCAGCGTAATGTTGTAGAAGTCAAAGAACATGCTTACGTTTTTGAAAACCGATATCTTTTATATTTGGGTCTTTTTTTCTACTTTTTTCTTTGAAATGTCATGACAGGAAAAAATAACGGTTTCCAGATAAATCTATATACACCGGTATGAAAGAATATAACTTGTTTTTTTTCACTTAGGCTTCGTAGTCGTCAGGCAGATACAAATACAGATATTCTGTCATATTCGTGAAATGTATATGATATTCTGTCTCATTCGTTTGTAACAGAGGTCTTTTTCATCTCAATGCCTCCGCTAGGAATCGAACCCCTGGCTTACTAGTCTGACGCTCAATTAATCGAGCTAAAGAGTTCTCTCTAGCCGATTTTGTGTGTATTGATATGCTGTCTCATTCGTTTGTAACAGAGGTCATTTTTCAGTATTTTAATCGAGCTAAAGAGTTCTCTCTAGCCGGTTACACGTGAAATGTATATGATATTCTGTCTCATTCGTGAAATGTATATAATATTCTGTCACATCCGTGAAATGTATATAATATTCTGTCACATCCGTGAAATGTATATGATATTCTGTCACATTCGTGAAATGTATATGATATTCTGTCTCAGTCGTGAAATGTATATAATATTGTGTCTCATTCGTGAAATGTATATAATATTCTGTCACATCCGTGAAATGTATATAATATTCTGTCTCATCCGTGAAATGTATATGATATTCTGTCACATTCGTGAAATGTATATGATATTCTGTCACATCCGTGAAATGTATATGATATTCTGTCACATTCGTGAAATGTATACGATATTCTGTCTCAGTCGTGAAATGTATATGATATTCTGTCTCAGTCGTGAAATGTATACGATATTCTGTCACATCCGTGAAATGTATATGATATTCTGTCACATCCGTGAAATGTATACGATATTCTGTCACATTCGTGAAATGTATATGATATTCTGTCACATCCGTGAAATGTATATAATATTCTGTCTCAGTCGTGAAATGTATATAATATTCTGTCTCATTCGTGTAATGTATACGATATTCTGTCACATCCGTGAAATGTATACGATATTCTGTCACATCCGTGAAATGTATATAATATTCTGTCACATCCGTGAAATGTATATGTTATTCTGTCACATCCGTGAAATGTATACGATATTAAACGAGAAACCATTAGATTTTTCTAGAACAATTTCTTCAGGTTGGTAATGTCAATAGAATAGTTTTTCATGATACAACCAGTAGATTTTATTTTGACGTTTCGATGACTAAACGGTCACCTTATAGGTCTTATAACACAACCAGTAGAGGATTAGACTGTGATTTTCGGTGACTACACGGTCACCATCATCATACACATGACCAGACCTTACTGTACAGCTGGTCGACTCCTTACCATCCCGTACACTACTAGTGCTAGTACGCGCCTCACAAGTCATTTGTCTGATGAAGGTGTGTGGTCATCGAAACGTCACAATTTGATTTCTACTGGTCAGAAAATAGCCTGTATCAATCGAACTTGTGGTAGTTTACCTGTTCGTTGACCTGTGCCGCCGTGATTGATAACGAGGTTATGAAGCTGAAATTAGTAATGAGCCAGAAGGAAAATGTGACGTAACCTAGGGCAGATATTGAGGAATTCGAGCCCACTATCTGATACAGAATGAAACAGATGAGGAAGATATTGGTGATGAAGTTGACTGATATTAGGTATTTAGTGTCCTGCTCCAGAATGGACAAAGCTTTACATAACTGTAGATGTTTCAGTCTGATATCCTTCATCTTCTGCCAAAGGTTGATGCCTTCCTCTTTCGTTATTTTACGAAGAACATTTGTATAACTGGAAAACTGATCTCGTAAAATTCTGAACAATACAACCTGAAAAAGAACGGGGAAAATCCAAGCTCCTGTTTCAATGGTATGGATAACAAGGACTAAAATTTTCACGCCTAAAATTTTCGCCGGGAACGGATTGCAGATGGCGACCATGAAACCTGGATCAGTATTGGTGATCATATAAAATATGTTAGAGCCAGTAACGAGAAGGATGACGAGCCACGCTATTGTAACACCAGCGATCGAGTACTGTCTAGATCTACGGCAGGAGGGTTTGATGTGCACGCAACAGATGTCGGTCATCAGGTTGTCGAAATAGTTGAAATATTCACTCAGGTGACTTCGTAACCAGCACGCGCGAAGAAGGAAAATCCGATTAAAGAAACATTGTAGAATCCAGAAAAGTGTAACGATTCTTGATACTGTCAAGTCTGGAACATAGTCTAAACCAACCCAAAACGAAGGAAGATATCTTACAACGTTTAAGCCTGACAATACTGTGAGACACACACAGTACCACTTGACGAAAGCGATCTTTGGCTTACGTTGAGAATCACGCTCTTCTGTGTCCGATGTGTTGTTTACCGCTGATTCACGGAAAAATATTCCAAACAACTGCATCATATACAGTATGGGTTTCATCACGTGTGAAAGTAAGGAGTATTTCTGACAAGAAACGTTCTCAACATCTGGAGGGGTTTTAAACTCTGTCACGTATGTAATCATATTGGTAGAGTTATGTAATCTCAGTGTGGCGCTGAAACAATTTAGAAACGGCTGACCACCAGAATACCCCTGGAAACTGTATTCTAACCACCAGGATACTCCCGGAAATTATCTTCTCACCAGCAGAATACTCCCAATAACTGTTTATCACTCTTGTATAAATGTTGTCCTTTCACCTAAACACCCTTTGAAATTATGGTCCTTCCAACAGAATACTCCGCATAGTTTTGTCGGTATATTCTACTGTCAGTAAAGCCAAGACAAAGCGATCACGTGGACTGAAAAACAACAAAACTTTGTTTAAACCATACTCAGGACGATGATTGTGGTTGATGGCTCGATCAATGTGACACTGATAAAAAAAGCAATACTGCGCTCAGCGTACTAGGAAGGTTTAGAAGTCTCATGATGCCGGTGGTTAAATCTATCGGAAATCAAAAACACATTAACGTAATTACTTAAAGCAAACATGACATACATAAATATTTCTATAGTTCAAACTAAGGTACATTAAGTAATAATAATAATGCGCGGACCGAGATATTTCTATTAACAGCAATTAATTACGAAACAAGCAAATAATAAACAAGGGGGTCGTACTATGGAAGTTTTCGTGAGGAAAGCCCACCTTTTCAGGGTTGTGACTCAATGCCAATTTAGTCCGGTCGCAGAATCGAACCTTATTCGCCTGGGTGCACAGCACTTCGACTATGCCATCCGACCACCGAAAGCATATATTACTGTTAAAAGTGACGTAATACCTTACACGGAATTTGAGAGATCTTGTATCAGTGGTTTAAGGCCAGTCTTGTTTACGTTGTAAACAATGGTTCAAGTTAGGACAAGTTGCAATACCAAATCTTTTTAATCAGTATGACTTTTATCGATTTTTAGCTGTTTTAGGAATGATTCATCAGAAAAAAAAAAGAAAAAAAATCAGCTTCGCTAACTCCCTTCAGTATTCAAATAGACTGAAAGATTTTACCATACAACTGAAAAGATATCGAAAATCCCACAATATATATACCATAGCTCGTACTTTTCATCCAATACGCCCCAGTTAAAGTCATAGTCACCTTCTTCAAATACCAACAGGAGAATAAACATACACGGAGGAACAAATTAACATACTTACAGAGTTTTGTCAGGAGCGCATATTTGGGATTCAATATGAATGAGATACCCAGTAAAAGCTTCCTTTCCATCTCGTACACTACGTACGTCAGTGCTAGTACGCTCCACACTGGTCATTTATCTGATGACGATGACTGTAGATTTCCCACACTACGTACGTCAGTTTACACTGGTCATTTATCTGATGAAGGTGACCGTGTAGATCTCGTACACTACGTACGTCAGTGCTAGTACGCTCCACACTGGTCATTTATCTGATGAAGGTGACCGTGTAGATCTCGTACACTACGTACGTCAGTGCTAGTACGCTCCACACTGGTCATTTATCCGATGAAGGTGACCGTGTAGTTATCGAAACATCACACTTTAATCTATTACTTGGTGTGTTATAAGATGAAGGTAACCGTGTAGTCATCGAAATGTCACAATCTAGTCCTCTACTGGTTGTGTTATAAGATGAAGGTGACCGTGTTGTCATCGAAACGTCACACTCTAATACTCTACTTGGTTGTGTTATAAGATGAAGGTGACCGTGTAGTCATCGAAACGTCACATTCTAATCTTCTACTGGTTGTGTTATAAGATGAAGGTGACCGTGTAGTCACAAACGTCACACTCTGATCTTCTACTGGTTGTGTTATAAGATGAAGGTGACCGTCACACTAATACTCTACTTGGTTGTGTTATAAGATGAAGGTGACCGTGTAGTCATCGAAACGTCACATTCTAATCTTCTACTGGTTGTGTTATAAGAGGAAGGTGACCGTGTTGTCATCGAAACGTCACACTCAAATCTTCTACTGGTTGTGTTATAAGATGGAGGTGACCGTGTTGACATCGAAACGTCACATTCAAATCTTCTACTGGTTGTGTTATAAGATGAAGCTGAACGTGTAGTCACAGAAACGTCACACTCTAATCTTCTACTGGTTGTGTTATAAGATGAAGGTGACCGTGTACTCACAGAAACGTCACTCTCTAATCTTCTACTGGTTGTGTTATAAGATGAAGGTGACCGTGTAGTCATCGAAACGTCACATTCTAATCTTCTACTGGTTGTGTTATAAGATGAAGGTGACCGTGTAGTCATCGAAACGTCACATTCTAATCTTCTACTGGTTGTGTTATAAGAGGAAGGTGACCGTGTTGTCATCGAAACGTCACACTCAAATCTTCTACTGGTTGTGTTATAAGATGGAGGTGACCGTGTTGACATCGAAACGTCACATTCAAATCTTCTACTGGTTGTGTTATAAGATGAAGCTGAACGTGTAGTCACAGAAACGTCACACTCTAATCTTCTACTGGTTGTGTTATAAGATGAAGGTGACCGTGTAGTCATCGAAACGTCACACTCTAATCTTCTACTGGTTGTGTTATAAGATGAAGGTGACCGTGTAGTCATCGAAACGTCACACTCTAATCATCTACTGGTTGTGTTATAAGATGAAGGTGACCGTGTAGTCATCGAAACACCACACTCTAATCTTCTACTGGTTGTGTTATAAGATGAAGGTGACCGTGTAGTCATCGAAACGTCACACTCTAATCCTCTACTGGTTGTGTTATAAGATGAAGGTGACCGTGTAGTCATGGAAACGTCACACTCTAATCTTCTACTGGTTGTGTTATATGATGAAGGTGACCGTGTAGTCATCGAAACGTCACACTCTAATCTTCTACTGGTTGTGTTATAAGATGAAGGTGACCGTGTAGTCATCGAAACGTCACACTCTAATCCTCTACTGGTTGTGTTATAAGATGAAGGTGACCGTGTAGTCATGGAAACGTCACACTCTAATACTCTACTTGGTGTGTTATAAGATGAAGGTGACCGTGTAGTCATCGAAACATCACACTCTGATCTTCTACTGGCTGTGTTATAAGATGAAGGTGACCGTGTAGTCATCGAAACGTCACACTCTAATACTTTACTGGTTGTGTTATAAGATGAAGGTGACCGTGTAGTCATCGAAACGTCACTCTCTAATACTCTACTTGGTGTGTATTGAAAACTTCCATGCTGTTGACATTACCAACCTGAAGAAAATGTTCCGAAAAAAACTTCTCGTATGAATTTAAATCCGACAAGACAGGAGCACACTTCTTTTCTTCTCATATGTATGAAGATATATGTTAGAGAATTTTACCTACAAAGTGAAGAAGGATACTGTAATATGGTGAAGTAAACATTTGATTTGAGCCGTCGTTGTTGTGTTGCAGACAGAAAATAAAGCTCTAAAATTTTGGGAATGAATACGTTTCTACATTTAAAAATAATGCTAGGGTATGGAAGTTTACTGAACTAAGGTGGAAAATTTCAGATTTTCCATAAAGAGCAGAAGTGCATCTTTTAAAGCCTGGGAAAGATTTAATGATTCAGATACAGTAACGGAAAAAAGAAAAAAACTCCATATTGACATTGCCATTATGGTATAACAGAGATCTACTTATTGGGAAAAAGTCTATTTTTTATAAATCGTGGTATAAGAGAGGAATAAAAATAATTCATGATTTGATAAAAGATATTGAAACATGCTCGTTCTACACTCTTCAAGAATTTAATGAGATTTCTCAAGTTAATACAAACTTTCTTCAATATAATGGTGTGATCTCTGCTATTAAATCATATTTAACAAAGATAGGCTATAGATGGCAGTTAATCTTTCACCCTATCATCCCAAGTGACATTTTTTTTTTCGTGAAAAATACAAAAGGGACTAAGGATCTATGTAATTTTATGGTTAAAAATGTACTGTATCTATAGGTAGGAAGAAGTGGGAAGACATATTTGAAGATATTGAGTTGACCTGGTCCGATATTATAAAACTCCATTTAAGGTTACAAATAACACAAAGCTACAGTGGTTTCAATACAGAATAGTGCAACATATTTTAACAACAAATACATATTTGTTTAAAGCTGGATTAGCAAATAGTCCTATCTGTCCTCTCTGTAACTTGGAGAGAGAGACAATCATCCATACTTTGTGGGAATGTTGAGAAACTCAGAAATTTTTGGTTAATGTTAAAACTCTTCTTGATGCACTATTGATTCCATTTTCTTTTAATAAGAAAAGCTTTATT